AACTCTGTCCGACAGAGCTGGAGCTCTAGGACGGCAGCATGAGAGCAACCAGCAAATCATTTTTCTGAAGAATTCTGTTGCTTACCTGCAATGCAACATCATTTAGCCCAATCCCAAAGATTTTAATAGCATCCTTTCTGGGGTGGTATGGCTGCAACAGCAGTGATGTCATGGGGAGGAAGCAGTAACAATCATGTGACTGCATCCTCCGTCTATAGGATATCTGATCAGGGGGAGACGGACCAGCCTGCAATCCTGCAGGATTAAGCTGCAAGCCTCTTTACCCTGCCCTACCTATTAAGTCACTATTAGAATGTGTGCTGCTTTTTTCCCTCCCTAGCCTGAGCTAATTGTTCTTTGCTTTTTTTTTTTTTTTTTTGCAACAGCAAAAACATTCACATTTTCACAAGGAAAAAGCATCGTAATTATGCTGCGTGCAAGCCAGCAAGTATTCCTGTTGACTCTGCAGCAACACTCAGGTTGCTGCTCTATGAAATATGTAATCAAAGCAGCTTGGATATGAGACAAACCACAATTTCACCATCCCTTGCATTTTTCATTCTCCTAGCACTCCATTTCAAGATTATCCAGACTGACTTACCTCCATCTTCTGTATCATATTCATATGTTGCAAACTTCCCTCAAAGCTTTCATCCCTTTTACCTTCATTTCTTCATTCTCCTCACCATCTATCCATCCATTCATCCCTTCACTTGCAGCCTTCTGCCTTTTCTTCAATGCAACTGTCATTGCTTGAAAGATCCTCTCCTATATGCCAGCCTACTTTTCCTTTTCAAAATGTCTGCTTAAGTTTTCTCAAAATATTTAAAAGCTAGGACATTCTAAAATATAGAACAAATATATAAAATATATAACAAATCTCCCCACAACAATTAGGCTGGTTAACAGAATATTACATCTCAGAACCATATTTTTGGGGTTTGAGGTTTTTGCCTTTTTTGTTGTTGTTTTTTTAGGTGTAAGTGGGGTGTTCGAGAATTTTATCACACTCAGCAATGTATTTGATTTCTACAAGATAAGAATCTCCAAAGTTCTGATTGCACAGATTTTGCTCAAGTCACCAGGATTATATTCTGCAAGACAGAGGTTGTAACTGTTTTTGTGAAGCCCATGTATGTGTTTATACCTGTGCAGTACGTTCTATTTCAGGACATTCACCTGTATTGGAATATTGTACAGACTGGTTTTACCCTCAGGTAAAAGCCTTTATCCAGCCTTGTGCTTTGTGTTTCCAAGCAGATTCAACAGCCAGGTAGAGGGAGGTCTTGCACAAGCACCCATGAAAATATCCACGGGTGACTGAAGGTGCACTCGTGACTTCAACTCACTTCAAAGGTGAAGGAATGCAGTTCTGGAAGACCTTTTTGTGCCAGTGTGTTGGAGCAGTAATCTATGGATGTGCCACGCAAGGAGCCCAGCCAGCAAAGCAAGCCTGATGATATCGGGTGTACAAAACCTTTTTGTTGTGAATGGACACACGGCCCCTTCCAACTCTTGTCTGTGAGCTGACGGTAGTTCCTGTACTCCTTATTCCTGACTAGGACTTCTCATGCAGAAGCCACATGCTGGATTTTATTGTGAAATGTGAACACTTAGCTTGCTACAGCTGAAGTTCCCACACCTTTTTGGAGCAAGGAGTAAATCTTTAGAGAAGAGATTTGATTCTACCCTTCACACACGCAGCACTGCAGATCATAGTCCTCTGCCACTCACAGATCAGTAACAGCCCCAGGCCTTTATAACCATGTCAGTGAAAAGTGGAAAAGTGATAGAAATCCTAGCTTTTTGCCAGTGTGTGTTCTTTGTGTCCATTAAAATCAGTATTAATAGGCCAATTGATTTCTGTGGAGGAAGTTAAACACTAAGCGCTTATTTTCTTGATAATGTAACTGTAATTTTCTTTAATCAGTTTATGAGAGGGAAATATGGAAAACAGCAAGCAGCATTTGTCACACATCTACACCTGGGAACTTCTAGGCCAAAGACACACACTTTAACAGAAACACTGTGCCCTAGACACAGAATAGTAATTTTGTGCACTTACCAAATGAGCACAAAGGTCTCAATCCCCCCGTTTTTTTTCTGGACAGACTTTCTTAAATTCATTTCAGGTTTTTTCCTTGCCTATTACCACAGCTGAACTCATTAAGTCTCCTACTGACAGTATATTTTTAGCTGGATGGTCAAACTGCAAACACAGGACAGAATAAACAATTTTCTATAGAAAATGTGATTCTATAGCATAGATAACATATCCTCAATTTTAAGGAATTTTTAGAAATCGAATCAGCTCCTAAACAGCTTTTAAATCCAAGAATATGGAGATTGTCTAAAGTGCAAGCAAGTGATTTAACAGACATTTAAAATTCCAAAATTAAATCAACTTTACTCCTCAGTATTTCTTTCAGTGATACTCAGTCAATTGTGTAATATCAGGATGAAGAAAATACACCTCACATGATGTTTTAGAAAAGATTGTTCTTGCTTTTGCTAGCCTGCAGTTTCTCAAGTCTCTTGGTAAGTGCTTCCTCCTTTCAAAGATGTGCAACTCTATAGTTATAAAGGAGATGAGAGTCAAAACAAGCTGTGAAGGGCTCTCTTCCCTAAAATTCAAATTTCAGTTTTACATCCACTGAAAACAAAATACAAAGTTCATCTAATTCCTAAAAAATGGGAAAAAAAAATCATCTTTTTATTCTGCGCTTACCTGTAGGGCTTGCAAAGTGCTTACAAGAACTGCAGCAAGAAATACAAATAATACTTCAGTCTCATAACAGAAAATCCAAAATGACGTACCCATTACAGCTTTTGTTGTTGATCCTGATGGCAGTGAGACAGAGACTGTTGGTGTTCCAAATGACTATTTCTAGCAGGCTGTTTAAAAATAACCTAAACTCTGTCATACCCTTTGCGCCTTGCGAATACTGGACGGAGACAGGGGTCACATGTCCATGCTGTGGTTTTGCCTGTGCTCCTGCAGCTTAGGGCTGTAGAGGGAAACTGAGAAATGGCCTTTCTGTACTTAAAGCAGGTTTAAGGTTTCCTTTGTGAAAGCAGCAATAAACACCTGCCTAAAAAAGCTATCCAGTATTCTTTTGAGTGGTTTCCACCTTGGAATTAGTCATAATTGCAGAACTAATAATGCCAACTTGCTTTCAATAAAAAATCTACAAAGTACAAATGTTTACTATGAAAAAAGGCATTTCGTTGTGTTTTAAGTGGAGTTACCCAAGAATTCTGGGAATATTCAACTATGAGCTGCTGATACAGTTGTCATCTTATCATGAGTGATAAGCTCTTGGAAGAACATACCTGACATTCCTTACACTCTGCATCCCTTTCAGGTCTTCAGTGTAACCTCTCTAGGATCTCCAGTTTCTCAGATTTCTTCTCCTACTTTAATTTGAAAATTCATTACATTCACCTAAATGACAGTATTATTCAAAATACATTTTTTTTAATGAAAGCACCAGGAACACAGGAAATATAAAACATTCAAAAAATACCTTTGATATATAGCAAAACTCTATTTCTGTTTATGGCAAATTATTTTATTTTGTAGAAGAAATACTTTCAAATAATACAAAAATGACACAATCATACAGAACTGTGACAAAAACAAGAGAGATGAATACTGAATATGATAACTCATTACCACATCAAGACAGAACTCATTACAGCAGTCAGAATCACAGACCCACAAGATACACTGATGACATCTCACAGCAGTCACAATTTAAAAACACCAACTGAACCCCCCGGCAAAGAGGCCACCAGACATTGCTCCTTTGTTTTACAGTCACAGAACAATTTATGGCAGAAAAAAGGTCCCTACCCCAAGCCCTGCTCAAAGCAGGCCTAACACAACCCGGAAGCTCCGGGCTATATCCACTCAACTCTTCATCTACCCTATGGGACAGAGTGCTCCGCCTCACTGCACAACCCCTTCCAGTACCTGACCAGCCTCACAGGAACACGGTGTTGTCTGTTCTTAGGGCACACCAAGCACTTCTGGTGTCACTGCATGGTAACTTTGGATAAATGCTACTTATGTGACAGCCTCAGTTGAAAACGAGAAGTGAAATTCTGACTAACTGGTCTTTTCAAGTAATGAGCACTGAAAAGTTTGCTGTCCCTAGACTTTTACACAAACACTGCAAATTTCTTACATGATTTGGTTTTTATCTGCATAGTTTCTGAATACATCTGCTTGTGCCCAAGGAACCCAATATACACCCACCAAAACTTACTGGCAAAAACAGGCTTCAGGATGAACAGCATGGTAAATGCTATACATATATGATCGCAACACTTGATGCCTGTATTGATTATAGGCCGTATTAGGAAACAGGGAATACTACCTTAAGATTAATTGTCTGTGTTAATCAACCTCATTAATTAATGATTTAGGTTTACAATCTTTTTTTCCCATTACTTTTGGCCTTGGCATGGATAAGTAAAAGTAAATCAATTTCACTTCCAGGTTTTCCTGACCTTTGACAAAGTAACAGAGTCTAAGCTCTTGGAATTCACAAAGAGGGCTTACTCGCAAAATATTTGAAAATAGAAATTCTGATAGGTCTCTTTAGGTTTTGGCTGTTGTTTGGATTTCCTGACATATAAAAATCTGGAACCAATCTGATATTTAATTAAAAGACAACACAATTTCCTTCTAGGAGATTCCAGCAATTTGCAAAAATCAGTCTTCTGTTGGGCACCTCTCTTTGTAGGTAATGTAAAATTAGAAAAATATGAGGAACTCTATTATAGTAGCTTAGTAAGGAAGTATTTTTACACACTTGCAGGATGCAAGGACACAAAACTGGCATTCTCGGGAATTTAGGGTGACAGTCTTTCATTAAAACGAATGGTCACAAGTAAAATTATTTCTAACCAGATTTTAGCTGGTTCAATTAGCAATCAAGTGAGCTGAACCTTCCAGAATTATGCACCTTCCTCCTGGAAAGCTTCACTTAACCGCAAAGCACATCCTTTAGGATGAACATGTGTTTAAGCACCCTTACTCAAAGCAGCTGCTTTCCAAAGTCAGAACACACATGCTTTCCTGAATCAGATCAGAATCTTCAGAACTCAAGAAATTACTGTAATATTCCATTAGCAGTCTTTCCATACAGCTCACTCACACTGCTCTTTTAACTCCCTTTTTATTAAACAGCAAAACAAAGACCTGTCACCCTTTTCCTTCCCCCGTTTAAACTGAAGTTAAGAATATAAAGATACTTTAGACACAACTGAAATGAAAACAATCTATTAGTGCACAATAAGAACATGCAAATGAATTCTGCAATGTTTAACATGACTTCTAATCAGTGTTAAACACACTGCAGGTGATAATATTTTGCTATAACAGACAGTGCTAAAGGATACAATGTACATAATAAGCTACAGATAATAAAGCTGAAAAAAGTGACAATTTTAGAACAAAGTATTTTCATTTCAGGTATCAGAAACAAAACCAGCTCAATGATTCCATTCTACTGTATGACAAATACTGAGGAACAAAATTTCAGTCTTAAAATACATCTTAAAGTAGGTATTTTCCTTCAAGGAAAAAAGGCACTATAAATAAATTACACTACAGTGAATTTGCCTGAACTCACTTTGTTTCTGTCTTCCAGCCTTTAAGTCAAATAAAACAGCATAAAAACTGTACACGCTCTTAACAGGATAGTCGATCTTTTATAAAATAACTTGTCTTCAGAGATGTCAGTTTCACAACAAGGAAAAACCAAGCCTTGTTGCAGTCGCTATTATAAAATATATATGTATATATATTTATATATATGTTTTTGTTTATGTTTACTTTTTTTTACTTTTTTTTTATTTTTTACAAAACGTGTATATTAGCTTTTGCACAATTTTTTTTAAAGAAACTTGGCTAATCTAAGAACTTCATTAAAATAAAAGCGATAAATACTTCATGTTTACAATGCAACATGTCATACATCATCAGCTGGCAGAGGAGGTATGTTAATCCTTGGTCTTGTAAAAAAAGCTATCTTCTCTCTGTGATCAAAACAAGAGAAAAAGGAAGTAAATCAAACTACGTTCCCCCTCCTCCCCGCAAGAACATGGTTTCTTTACTCTGGTTAGTGGTTAGTATTTGTTAGTTATGTACTGAACTGGTGGTTTATTTGAATACAACAAACTTTAAAAACTACTAAACCTCACTATACACTTTTGACAACTTTCTGTTGAACACAGTCACTATTTTTTTTAAATCTAGGTGGAAGGGTTATACAACTCACTGAACGCCAGTCATAGCTGACTGTATAAAGGCTTCACAGGACAAGCCCTGCAAAGCAAAATACACCCTTGTACATTTTGCAATAATGTGTACAAAAAGAAGGGGGAGCCAAAAAAATGGCAACACTGCAAACAGAGTCCACAGAAAAGGCTTCTTGAGAGAAAGCTGGAATATTACTGGGTAATTTTTTAGGGAAAGTGTGTTACTAGTGACACATATGTATTACATTAAACAGACTATGGGCACAGGCTTGTATTGAAGAACTGACACGACATTTGAACTTAATAGCAACTAGTTGGAAGAATCATCTTTGCATTTGAAGCTTTTTTTAATTTTATGTGAATTGTAACACTGCAATTTTACCTTAGTTTTGGCTCTTTGCAGTATAAAGAATGCAAAAGGAACTTGTGTCCAAATCCAGATACAGTTTAGAAGTACTGGCTATCACAAGACACACAGAATTTAGCTAAATGTTTCAGAAAGCTTTAACCTCTCTAATGAACTGTTCCTATGCTATTTCAGTATGCATTACCACTTACCTAAAAGTCTGCACCTGAATAGGCTCCTTCTGATTTTGCCCACGCAACTGGTAAATTTCTTTTGATGCTTTCTTTAGCATTTTCTCAGCTGCTTGCTCTTGATGATGTTCAAATTTGGTCTGTCTGGTCTGAAAACAAGAAACATAATGCTTAAAATGGACACATAAAACACAAGAATATCCACATTAAAATAATGGATTTTTTTTCCCACTCACCACAGAGAAACCACACAAGTACATTGTCTGAAACACCTAAGAATCTAAGAATTATAAAGGCAAAAGACTGAGTTGTTTCATCTTCTAATGTTCTTCAGACAGGTATGTATTAAATTAACAAAATTTACTGCATACAGAACTGTCAAACAAGATCTTAAAATAAATTTAGGCTCAGTCTTTGTCTCAGATAATCCAATGACAATCTTCTTTGTTGTGCACTTTCACCACCTTTGTCTACAACTTCTTTCTCCAAGAACAGGAAAAGAAAAAAAAAAAATCACATACTTAGGGAACATTCAAAATACTTGTAAAAAAAATCAAATAAGAAAAATTTCTTTCAAAGATCAAAAGAAATAAAATTATTAAAGCTCCAATAACAAATACCTAAACCAAAACAAATGAACAACAACAATAAATAAATAAACAAAACCCAAAACAAAACAAAAAGTGCCACTGGCAAATAGCGCCATTCTCTAAAAACCTGTCCTGAAATAAATATAGTTTGGTAACAATCAATGCAATAGTTTTTATTGTGCAAACTTCAAGGGAGGAAACTCACTGTTAATATTTCTGTAAAAACAGTTCTTTAGACACTTTGTCACAATCAAGACATTTTGAAATCAGAAGTTTCTGAACACACTGAGTGCTTACATCATGTTACCATACCTGCCTTTCTGCTTCCTTCAGCAAGTTTCGGAATCGCTCATCCCGAAGGACCCAGTGGGGTAGATCTGTCTGCCCTCTGAGCTGGGCATCTTCCAGACGCTGTCTCAATTCTCTTAAAACACATATCTCCTCATTCAGCTGTCTCTGTCTAGTTCTGGATGCCTGGAGATCCAGCTCCAGGTCTAAGGATGTCCTTGCCATAAGCTCAGCCAAGGATGATCTGCAGGACTGCTGATTATTAGGATTCAAATAAAATGCACAATATATTACTCTCAACATGGTTTACTGGTCTTGCTTTAGCAATACAGACCATACATTTTCGGTACTTACTTCACACACAAAGTCTTTTTCACATGAAGTTTTGGAGATTCTTTATATCCTCCAGTGCAAGGCTAGCTTGTAGGGGTTTTCTGTATCATACATAACTTTTTCAATTAATGCTTTCTACTATCTCCTTTGACAGTCTACTTTTGAATTTTTCTACTGCCTCCTTTTACAGCTTCCTTTTGACTTACAAATACTTAACTAATTTAAGTTTATGGACTAAAATTCCATGTTATGATGATAATAAAAGGGATGTAATATGAAAAATTCATAATGAAGTCATGACATCAGAAAATACTGTACTGAGCAAGGTTCCTCTTAAAGGGCTTCATTCAATATTGTTTTTAAGATACATTCTGAATCAATATGGGATGCATAGCTGTCTACTCACCTACACCAGCAAGACATTAACTTCTGCTAACCAGACTACACCTTATGTCATTTATATGCACGGCATTAACACCTATCTGCCCTTCTCTGCCCACTTGTTCCACAGCATGAGGAGTGGCACAGGGGCAAAAGAAGAGCTTAACCTATTAATTCCTGAATACTTGGGTCTCAAATACTATGATTTGTTAGGCTGCATGGGAGGGGAGATGAATGTTTTACTGCCATATTCACACACTTCTCTAGGCCCACACCCTGCTTCATAAACTAGATTGTAAAGATTCATCAAACTTTACATCCAAATCAATACAAATTCGGTTCCCATTAACATAACTTTTGTCTGCCACACTTTCTTCCCTCCTTAATAATTGTTCACAACTGTATTTAACTTCTCCAAGTCTACCTTTTAGCTTAAAAAGTCCAAAACAAACACAAAACATGCACCCCCCCCCAATTACATTGCAGAAGCTTTTTATGCTTCCTAAAAGGATCAGAAAGCACCTGCAGACATCTAAAGCTTAAGTGTAACAAGTACCAGTGTTCTAGTAACCTTGTGAAAATTAAAAATCCATTTCCTTGGTATATTACCTGCTTATACCGTAGCGTGCGCCTCTCCAACGTATTCCGGACAAAAGGGGACTTCCTTGGCAGGGTTGAACTGTCACTGTCACTGCGATACAGCTGATGAGAAAAGACAGTGACAATGTAAGTTGCTTACAAGGTCATGTTCATTAAGAAATCTTTATTACTTTTTTTTTCCGCTTTTGAGACTTATTTTTTAACATACACTGAAACTGTCTTGTTTTAAGCAACTTATTTTTTTCAGCTTTAGTTATTTAAAAAATGTATATACAATAGTGCTTATACAGTATAGTTACAATAATTCAAGAAAACTTAAAATCATCAGTGTTATACAGGTACATTTCACCAACCATTCTACTATATATCCAAGACAATGTAGCCTAAAAAAATATGGAGGGGGGACTTAGAAGCAATAATATTTCATCCTAAAGCATTTACTGTCATGGGCATGAAGAATACAGTCTCCCACTTCTACCCCCCATCTGACTTTAGTAAATGCAGGTTAAGTGATTGTGTTCAATGACCTTTTCCTTTTGGTGCTATCTTTGATCTGGTGTGCAAGAGTCTTTCACTTGCATTCTCTATGTTACAAACAGATACGTAATTCAGAAATCAAACTGAAGAATTTGAGAATTTGTGTGCACTGTGTACAATGTAAGTAAGAACAAAAACCAGAATTTCCTTGGTTTAGGACAAAGCACAAAATTTAAAAATCATTACTGCATTTTCAAACTCAAGATCTCAGAAACTGATGAAAGAGTACGATCAAAGCTACGTGTATTCCGCCAATGTTGCAAAACCAATACCCACATATCAATCTACAAAACCATGAGCCAAGCGCTTATAAGCCTTTCATCACTGAACACAGCAATCAACCGAGGTGAGCTGATCCTCAATTACTTACACCAGTGCTCCCAGGAACCCTACGTTCCACTGCTGTAGCAGGCACCTTATGACTTATATTCATGACAGCAACAGAGTTATAAGAATATTTATGCAATAACCATAACATTAAGCATGCAGTGCCCTTTTCCAAAGTTTTACATACATGAAAGTTAAACATGGCTTCTAAGCAAACTGTTTATACACTTCATCAGACAGCACTGAACCTCTGGAAAACCAATCACCCTAGCCTAACATCTAAGGTTGCCAAGGAATAGAACTTAATATCTAATTTGCCATGGATTGTTAAATTTCAAATCCAGGTTTAAACCCTTAAAAAGAGTCAGGGAAAATCTTCCCCACTGCTATGTTTAAATTCAGTGAAAGATTATTCATTACTATTAAAAAGTAGCACAAGTTTCTTCTAAATGCAACAAAGCCTTAAAAAGACATTATCAAAAACATATATTATATTTGCATGGAGGCCCCTCCCCCCCTCCTTCTTTTTAAGCCTTGCTCACTCTGCAAACATATTGACTCCGTGCTCCAGGCGAGAAGGTCTGGGAACGAACAATGGTGCTGCTTCGAACAAAAGCAGAACCCCGTGGCCTGCGGCTGGTTCTCTCTTTTGGAAGAATAGCAACTTCTTCAGGAAACAGATCCTCAGTGTTAGTTTCCTTATCCACCTAAAATTTCAATGAAGGAAATTTTTTTATTTTTCCCTTATTTTTTCTCTTGTAGCCAAAACAATCAGACATTTCAACAATATCAAAAGTAAACTATTTGCTAGCTAGATTCAAGTCTCAATGAGCACTAAGAGGATGAATTACCTCATTTTTTAAAAAGTTTTAAAACTAGGTCATTCAAAATTATAAGATTACCTTTCAGAAGCCTTCAGTGGAACAGTAACAATTATGAGATGCAGTTATAATATAAATCATAGCTGCAGAGCACAAGGACTGCATTCAGGACTGGCAACTAGGCATTAACCAAGCTACCACCTGATCTCCAGCCTCAACAGAAAAAAACTGAGTCACTTTTCAATAAGAACAGTGACTCTGAAGCAAAAAACCACCTTAAAACTAGAGGAAGTTAAACGAAGAGAAGGAAGGAAAAAAAAGGAACTGAAAGACTGTTAAAACAATTATACAAGAACACTAAAATATTCAGACAGACAGAAAACATGGACTACTCTAGCAAAGATTCCAAACTTTTAGTTAACTCACTCCTCAAAAGGAGGTATTATCTTCCCCTAAAGGGAGCACAAATGGCTTGTGTTCCTCTACTTCAATGGAAATCTGCTGATTTCAGCTTGTTCAGGATTATTTTTAGTATCTCATATCTTGAATACAAAAGATTTTAAACACATCAGTTTCAGCCCAATTATTCTATGTTATTGTAACACTCAAACAGTAATTCAAATCTTAAAACATTACACTTCCTTCTTCATAGTTTCTTCAAAATTCTTATTTCCAAGAGCACTGGAATTCGACCATGATCTTTTCTGTTACAATTTCAGGTAAACACAGAAACTGATACAGGTGCATATTTACAGATTATGTAAAGGCCACAGTAAAAATAGCTTGCCTCTTGATATAAAAACCAAATTCTGTTTAGAAATAGTAAAGCAAAAAAGTAAAACTAGTAAGCAAACAAAAAAAAAACAGCCCTAAAGGGGCATTTCTAACAACTCAGTAGTGACACTGCTGTAATGAAGGCAGTGCAGATACAGGGTTGTTGATGGAATTTCTGACTCTTTTCTCTCCTGATCAATCCAGACTCCAACTCTAGGAGCAGCAGTGTGTGGTCCAGGCATTTGGCAGTTTCTGTACTGTAGTGTCTTCTCTCATTACCTTTAGTGGCGGAGGCTGCATTTTTCCAGAACTGTACTGGCCTGCTTGAGTTGCAAACACGTGTCCAGCTAACGAATCCCCGCAAAATGGCTCTGGATAAGGAGGACTAGTCTGGGTGCAATTACTGCATCCACTGTCAACAGATTCTGCTTGCCAACTCCTAAAGTCAGAACATCACAATAATTTTGCAGGTATTAAAAAAACTCATGCAATTATGAGTCATGTTTATGTATTTCATTATCCAAGTCAGTTTATCATTTAAAAGTATTATTTCTCCAATAAAAATATAGAATTTTCATAGGTAGAACACAGCCTGTTTGCATTTCTGCAGGTACAGAGAAGCAAATACTTTTCATAGCAAAAAAATTCGCCTTCCCTAATTTTCTTTAAGCATATGTTCTGGTCTTTTTACCAATACTAAGAAAACCATAACAAAAAGAACAACACCATTCATGTAACAAACTAGAAGTACTATTAAGGATGAAATCACAACCCTAACGTTTTCCCATGTCTCCACAAAATTTTATTTACTGGTTTGTTTTTTTTTTTAGTACAGGGCTATTACAAACCCATTACAATTGTCTCCCTAGCAAAGTTTCTGTATGATATAATGTTTTCCCACTCCCCAAATACCAAGTCCTCTAAACTCAACCAGCTATTCAAGTAAGGTTTTCTCCTGTTTGCACATCATGACAGACCTCCGAATAAGGACTTGCTGTACTTCTATTTCAGACTATACCCATAGCATAACTACCTTTGATGAAGTATTAGTTATTATCTGCTTAAGGAGCCATTAAAGCAACCATTTTTACCTTTCTGATATGGCTTCTGCCTGATCTTCCTTTCTTTCCATCTCCAAGATTTCTTCCTCTGTGTACTCCAGTTTCACCCTCTCTTCTGCCAGCTCTCTCTCAACTGCTTCTAGCTGAGCAGTGGTCCTAGCTAACAGGGCTGTCACTGCATCCTGTAAGGTAAATCAGACTTAAAATAAAACTGTTTGAAAAAAACAAATGTACTTAATGCATACTATTTAGAGAAAACACAATAAGAACATAAAAACAAAGCCACTGTATGTTCCTTTAAAAAAAAACCCCACACACTTAAACAAAACCAAACAAAACCACAAACAAAAACGACCACAACAAATAACCCAAACCAAAACACAAAACAAAGATCTGCCCTGAATCTTAATGATCAAAAAGTACATAGTGTTCAACTTGTCACAGATACTGGGCAGACTTTACCTCTCTTGGAACATAATCCAGCAAGATATCAGAAGAGATTTCTGAAAGTCACCTAATTTGATGCTCTGCCCAAAACAGGCAAGGCATCATAGCCACATGAGGTTGTCCAGGACCCAGTCAAGGGCTGAAAAATCTCCAAGGGTGGAAACCTTTCTTGACAAGCTCTTCAAGTGCAGAGGCAGAAATTTTTAACAGTTGTATTGGAAACGTCCATAAAAACATACACAGGGTATGTTACACAGGTATCTCAAGCACCTGTCCAGACATGATCTGGTTTTTAATTATTCTTCTGAAATCCAGCTCTAACCATAGGAGTAAAATTAAGCACCGCAAAAATCTGCACCTGAGATAAGACCACAAACAACCACACCGAAGGTCTCATTTGACAAATAAATAAACAAATCACTTTTATAGAGCCATACTGTTTTAACTGTAGTTACATTTCCAGAAGACTGAGGAATACTGTCTTCACACTGGTTTTTGGTCCTCGCTCTCTGGGGCTCTGAACCAGTGAAGATCTGAACAGTATACCAGTGAAGCTGCATCTCACCAGAATTCTCTGCATCGGTCAGGTTTATCTGAGCAATGCCCTATGAAAAGCAAAAAGCATTGACCACAATAAGATAATCATACTCTGCAGGATAGATACCTTCTCATTTAAAATGTGTTTTACTTACAATGTAAAAACCCCACTTCATCAAATACAGTCTCTTAAAAAGAGACAGTTTTGTTCCATTGTGTTACGATGTTAAGATTCTGAATTTCTTGTCTCTTGCTTACTACCAGGAAGGATCAGAGCAGATATTAAATTTTTGGCTTTGAAAAATAAAAATCGTAGGACTGATGTAGATATGCTTGACACCTGACAGTTATTAATATTTTATTTCTAAAACCCTCTCAATTACATAGCTGATTTCTACATTTGCTTAAATTATTGTAACTTTAACAATATTATTTTAATTTGTGTTTTTTTAGAGAGATTTATATTCTGATACCCTTCTGTTCTCTGGTCCTCAAAGGCATCTTTCAAATGGAAAAAAAAATGTTGTGTAAATTAATTCTTTTCCTGCCTATTTATATCATAAGACTGTCGAATGGGCCACAAATCCATTTTTCCACTTTGCAGGTCATCCTTTCATCTCCTAGATTTAGGTGAAAACAGGTTTAATGGAGGCTTCCCACTAAAAGTGTTTTAAACTTTGAAGGAGCCCAACTCCATCAGAGAGTGCTCATGTAAGAAATTCTCAGTGGTGTTCACCGAAATTAAAAACAGCTGTGAGCAAATCCATGCTGCCTATTTTATTTATTATTTTTTTAATCAGTTCACTAACTTAACCTAGCAACGATTTTGTATCAGTTAGCCTTTAAGTACTGCTTTTAGCTTTATCTGGCTATCTCTACAACCTGTTCATTTCCATGCTAGAGAACCACATGCTAAGAATGTTTTCATTTATATCACGGTAATGTCCCATATAATAGTTTTCATCTCTCATAAACCAAACAGCTGGATACAATGATTATAATAGTAAAGGCAGTAGGAAATGAACACAGAAACTGCATTCAACTTTAAGCAGGTAAAGAAACAGTTAATTAGAAAACAATAATTAAAAAAACACTGTATTATTTTTCCAAGACAAATATTCCCTGGGGCTCTGTTTAAACAGGTGCATAAAGGACAATGGAGAAAAGGTTTTGAGACTAACAAAATAATGTGATATTGGGATACAGAATGTTACTGAGGAAGTCATTTCATGTCAGTATACTGGTGGCTAGAGAGATGACTTTTTTTTTTCTACATAAAACAGAGATGTCTACTTGCTCTGATGCAGTGTATGAAAGAAATGTTCATCAAATACTGACATTTTTATATCAGAGTTGGAAAATGTTTAAGACATGCTGAGTATGGTTTTAGAAGTAGAGGGTAAAACAGTTTTCCTGCCATCAATATTGCAGAAAACATATGCTTAAGACATCTGATACTGCCCCACACACCACATTTACTAAGCAGTTAAGTAAGCCTGCCAAAAAAGCTGTCAGTACAAAGTGAATCACTAATTGGGTAGAAAATCACCATCAAATCCAACTGATAATTATCAGTACTGAAAGGACCAATTAATATTTCACCTCCACCTTAAGATTTGGAGCTCACTCAAAAGGATGAAAAAACCAAGGTGGGTCTACTAGAGGTCTCTCACGTGCTTGCTCTGACACATTTGTTAACAACTTGGTTGGCAGAAGAGTAGAAGTATTTATGAATCTCTCTGTGATATCAGACAGACATGTCTCTTTATAAGAAAAGGATCAGAATTTAAAGTAATACTAAAAAAAAAAATGGGACAAATGTTCCAAAATAAAATCAGAAAATGCAAAACAAGTCACTCAAGAAGAATTCAAATAAATTAAGACACGGGGAATAATCAGTTGGCCAGGGCTGTAAAAGATCAGAAACTTGGAGTGAAACAGCAATGCTGTGTGATTGTATGAAAGGCATTCACATTTCTTTGATGTTTTGTCATGAACTACATATGCTAATCATGGAAAATAACAATTCCCTTATCTCAATATTGATTAGGCCAACAGGGAAGAAATAAGCCAATTTAACACAGAAAAAGATCTTTCAGCCATGCAGTACATATGAGTAAAAGGCTGAGGGAATGGAAGGACCATCCCACAAGTTTAATATACTTATTTCTTTATAAGTGAAGTGTAGAACAGAATTTTGACAGAATTTATTTTTTTTTAACTCCCTATTATGTTCAAATACTTGTATAACTTAAACTCCAGTGTGGCTTCTGCATTTAGGAACACATTACACTGGCATAATCTAACTGAAAAGATAGCGGTCATCAAGAATTTGAGAAATTTATGCATTATTAAATAGATGGGAAAAATGGTAATCTCAGTGGAAGAGATCTTGAAAGACATGGGCCTTGCTGACAGAGACCATCACAGCAGTTCCAAAGGGAGATAGTAAATGTTTTCTCAGTTTGAGAAAATGCTCAATTTGCAGCTAAAGAGAGTAACAATCATAATGTTTAATCAGATACTTCAATGCATCGACCTGAAGAAACCGTGACATTGTTTCTCTCCTTTTGAGTAGCATTGCTAACTTACCTTAAAGTATATTACTAGCTACTGTTGACAGAGATATTTCTGACAAAACTAAACTAAGACTACAAAAAAGAAAAAAATCCCTACCAATATAACCCGAAGACCTCTCTTTTTTTTTGGCAATTCAGTAAGAGCAGTTAGAATAAAAGCACCCTAAACTTAGATGCACCTGTGCCAATGCCAAGACATTTTATACTTACATAGCTATTTAGCTTGCCACAAGAACAGGCTGTAGCAGCATAAAGCATTTTACACTACTATATCCAGCCTGTTCTTGAGATGCTTTCGCTTTCATAATGTTGTAGTGCAAAAATGACAAAACTTCCTACTACAGACAAAACCTTGGGTCCACTTCTGTCAACATCAGGACCTCTATTTATGTAAGATGCTCCTTAGTTTTAAAGGTGGACTAACAAACATGCACTCTTGCCTATATTTGCTCAAATAAACACCTATAGCCCAGCATGCCAGTGAGATGCCTGAACCTCTTAACTTCTTTGATAGGCTTAAAAATTTTTTTCCCTAACCCATTCAAACCCCTCACTGCAATGACAGTCCACTCATTTCTAAACAGCCAGGACACACACAGGAATTAAAGTCCCGTGTCTTGAGCACGCTGTAGTCTAAAAGCTGTCAGATTAAGTGTTTTAGGAAAAGTTTGACTTTTTTTTTTTACACAGTGCATTCCTTTTTGCACCAAAATTTAGCAACAGCAGATTTTTCAACTTTCCGCAAAACAGACACTTCTAAGAATTGCCTTTAAAATAAATAAAAAATTAACTCCTTATCTACTAAATCCCATAGCAATGAATGTGAATCTCACATCAGTTTTCAGCATACCACTGCAATTTAACAGTAACTAGTAGATCAGATTATTTTCAACACTGCTTAAAACTCTCCAATTCTCAACCTCTGCTAATTTAATAAGACTTCATGTAACCCCAAAATGCACATATTTCAACTTTTTAAAAATCCCACCTTTTTATTCACAGAACTATACTTACATATGTGCACAAATGGACACACTAACATCAACTCTATGAGAACTTCTTATGGAGAAATAAAGACTTCACTTTCCCTTTATAATCTTAAAAATTATTCCTCAAGTAACTTTAGTTTCCCATATAAATGGCTTTTAATAAACAGAACCACTTACCAATAGCTCTTCTTGTTGCTGATGATCAACTGAACAGATATACAGCTGCAGTGATTTTAATTTCAAAACACTTGAATGCACAGGGATTCGGAACACTTCATTAAATATTAACGGAGTTTGGAATTCCAAAGCTCTAGAGCAGTAAGTGGTTGGTGTGCCCGACTCAAGTGGTGGCAAATAAACTCTCACATGACTGAGAACATCAAAATAGACAAATAACACAATTCAGAAAAAGAAAGCTATTTTACATTTCTCAAAATCAAGCTATGCAAAAACATTAGTGTAACACCTACATCAAGAATTGCTCTGGGATCTCATCACCACAGAAATTTACTTTGCATTCTTAACGCACAAGATCGGCACAGCTAATCCAGAAATGCTATATTTTTCTAACTAAAACTAATTTTTTTCCAACTTGGTGCTGAACAGAGGCACCAAGTGGCACTTGAGCTGCCCTGAGGTATCCAAGGCATCTACAGGGAGCTGGAAATTATGACATTGGAGCTACAGGAGAGCTACATACAGCCTTCGTCTGAGCAGCAGCAGCTGGAGGCCAGGTGCTATGTTATGATATTTCAAATGGAAACACATGCCTATATTTAGGCAATTGAATTACCCCGTAAGTGTCACTAATCCATTTCTTCTCTACCTTCCACCCACTAACCTTTTCTTCCTCCTTAAGAAATTCAGCAAGGATGGCAAAAGAAATCTGCAGTCATGGCATCCATCTGCAGTCTTAAAAAACTAATTTAAATATCTCATACCATCCCATTTGAGACTCCAAGACAAAAACAACATCAACAATCACTTTCATCTGATAGAAGGCAGCAGAGCTACTTAGACAGTTGTTTCCATGACATAGGTCATTAAAGACTACTCCTGTTACCTGACCATTGTGACAGAGATTCTATGAAAGGGACACTTTGTGTCCATAAAATTAACCCTTTCCTCATGAAAACTAAGACATATTATCTTCTTCAGAAACGGCTTAATTTTGAATGAAAGCAAATAAATCTACAGTATTTATGACCGTGGCACAAAACAAACAATGATCAGACTTTGGGTGAAATTTAAGCTTACATTTTGCAGTTTTCTTTAACAACTAGACTAGTAAAGTTCTTCAGCTGTAATACATGGACTAACAGACATTCGCTTCCACTGTCATGCCTGGAAAACAAAGTTCCTGCATTAATCACCAATCACCAATATTTTGCTTAAGAAATGGAAATGACTAGAAGGATTTCAAGAATATAAAAGCACATTTTGTTGTTAAACAAATTTCTTAGACAAACCAGTTTCAATTAAAAGCAATTACAGATATCACATTCTGGTAACGGAACATTATTAACATCAGTACCAGTAACACAGAACTAAGAGAATTAAACAGTATTCAGTTTCAAAAGAATAAGTTGCTTTACACTACACTGTGTTACAAAACACATTTTATAAAATACATTCCTTAAACAGTTACATCATATGCTTATATGTGTGTGCATGTGTGCACGTGTGCAACAACACATTGGTTACATTAGACAAATCAGTCTGCATTATTTTCATGGGTTATTGAAAACAAATTAAAAAATTCTACTCTTTCACATCAACATGAATTTTGAAATGGCACTAACAGTTTTGAGATTTACAAAACTCCCAAGCTTAGGAATTAATTTTCCAAGGGGCAGAGACAATTCCAGAGGGCTGCCTAAGGTATGATATCCTGCCTTGCACAGCAATAATCTACCCTTTCACACATTATTCCCAGCACCAACAACAGCATGCCATAAGCACAGGATTTCAGAGCCGTATTTGGGAACTGTGTTTGTATTTGTGTCTCTTTACCTGTGACTTTTCTAAGGTAATCCTCCTTTATCTGGCATAAAAAGATCTCGCTTACAGAGACATATCCCTATACCCATACTCACACTAAAGGTCTAGACAATGAAAATAAATGCTACTGAAAGAAGTAGTGAAGGCCCTTTTATCAGTCAGCATTGAATGGATGAACTGAATGAACTGCAGTTAAGGCATATCCCCAACACAAAGTGGCATGTGACTAACTAATCTGTACACACACTAAACTTCAGCTGTCAGTTCAGAAATGTCTTAAAAATACCCACTGAAGTTCAGATCATTAAAAAGTTAACAAACCCAAGAAAAGTAGTGAGCAATTCCTGCAGAGTTGACAGGGAGAAAGAGGTGTAACTACTCACAGATATCCAACATGTATTTGTGGTTCTTCATTACTGGCAACATCACCATAAACAGGCTCTTCCAGATCTTCATTCCTGTAGGAACAGAAAGTACTGTAAACTAGTGATAAAGTAGTGACCTAAGCTGTTAAAACATAATGAAACTAACATTTACTTTGTGATTTGTGGATATAAGCAATTGCTTGGTAATACAGGAAGGACAGGCGATGTAAAAGGAACTGAGACATCTATTTAAAAACACAGCAGTAGTAATTTGCAATTGTAAAAACTGAAGTTTTAGAATAATTTTTTTAAAGATATTTACATTAATATCTATTCTGTCTTCCATTTCTCTTTAGCATCTCCCAAACCTTATCTTCTTCCCAATTACTGTTTAGAATGTTAAAACAATTGTATTAAGTAACATGCCTTTATGTATCCTTCAATCACTTGGTCAACTTACACATTTTTAGATTTTTAGTAGTTTGTGTATTTCTTCCTCTCAGTTATACTTTTATCACATGCTGCTCAGAATTTTAAGGCACACTCTGTATAAGTTTATTTTGTTACAGATGGCTGAAAAATTACTGATTTATGACTAATTAGCTGAGAAAACTTTTTCAAGGGAGAATGATATAGTGTTAAAATGTCAGAGACAATAAGTGAAAGTTCGTTGTGAAGATGACAGACTGCATGTAAAAAGCTTCTCTCCTTTAAAACATGCAATCTATTTCTATGTTACAAAGAACTAGGAAGGTTGAAAACCTATTCAGAAATTCACAACTAATTCTTTTGGACCGTGTGGTAGAAAAGGAATATTTCCAGCTTACTATGCATTTATACACCTGACCTTTTGCTTAAAGCTTCAAACACGCCACTGTCACTAGCCAGTGAATGATCTGAGAGACATGCTGAAACTCGCCTGGCTCTCCTCTCCGATCTTCTACCACTGTCTCCTCGCAGAGTTACGGCTGCCATGGAGAAAAAAAGTGAAAACAACATCAGCTCAAGGCAATTTCTTAAAAATCAAACCAGAAACATGTATTGTATCAAAACTAGCAGCAAAACAGCACAAACGCAGTTCACTGATTTTTCATTTAACTTTAAATTAAAAATCTAGAAGACAATTGACCGTAGATTTTCTGTGGGAGAATTAAGGAAGGAAGTTTGTGGGCAACTGCTGTCTGACAAGACTAAGCATAAACCAATTGCATTGTTACTAAATGTTTTTCTCTCAGAATAATTCCTTCCTAAAGGAAGACTTACATTAATTCAACATATGTACACATGATATCCTAAACTTTTCAGACTTAATTACTGAATATACAATAGGTTGAAAACAAACACAGAGACTGATTCTTTTAAAAAGTTATCTGATAAAACAATGTGAGGTTTTGTTCTCATTTGTTTCCTAATACAAAATCTCAAAGCATACTGTTTATACCATCACATAATAGCAGCTTTATTTACAGTCTGAAAGGCATTATCAAAAAGAACCAGTGCTTTCCAACTCACTCAGACCACTGTTTTTTTCAAATTCTTGGTGAATGACTTTGACTCAGGGAAGGAGGAAGCAATATTCAAACCCCTCTTCCACCCTCCCCTGAATCACCATCAACATCATAAATAGCAACATTTTCACACTGTAAATGTATCTACAAAAATTATGTTATACATCAGGTTTTGCATAGGCAAGTAGGTATAGCAGCTACTAGTCCTTTAAAGTACATGCACAAGCAGACATGATCAAGAAGTGGATAGGAAAGGTTTCAGCACTTCAATGATAGCTCCTAACTCAAGGTTATTCACTTCTGAGTACTAGAGAGGACCATTAAACAGTACTTGTGAAGTGCAGTTTCTTCACTGTGCAGTGAAGAACCGATACCCTCTTTTACTTAAGGTTCAGTGAACTATCCTCAAAGTGGGAAAGCAATGGCAAAGAGATAACACTTCAAAAGTGGGGAAAGCATTTTACTTGCTTCTGCTCATGCTTAAGAAACTTAAGCCAGTATGGAAGCATTCACAGTTTCAGCAGTAGTGATAGTAGCACAGTGCATATTGCGTGGGAGACAAGCACCAGCTGACATTCACAGCTTACTACCTCCAACCAAGGATGAAGCATGTCTTACTGAAAGGAACAACTTCCTGAGTACTTTTGTTACACATTATCTTAAGGCATCAAAATTTATTTCTGATACCTATCAGTAAATTTCCTTCAGCTGAACACCAACCCACAACCTGATCTCTGCCTGCAGAACCCAGCTCAAGTGTGGTGAGCCACCCCTTTGCTTAGTACCCATCTCACCTCCCACCCAAGAACCACCAGGACAGAACATCAGGCTCGGGAGCTCAACAGAAGTCTTACAGATTAACAGCCACTGTTATCAACAGAAGCCTCTGGCTAAAGGTCACCATTAGCCACTGTTGGACTGGCAGGCAGGGTGCACCAAGCCCAGCAGTTCTGTGCCAGCCCAAGGTACATTTCTGTTACCGGGCCACTAACAGCATAAAATACCCAAAGGTGTTACAAAAATCACACAGTCCTGTTTGGAGCTAAAATTCCTGTGTATTAGCAGAGCAAATTCTGTCTCCTTTGGATTCAAAAGCAGTCCTATGGACCTCTCCTCCAAATTCAATGAAGGATTTAGTCATCCTCAGCTATGCAAGAAACTTATCTGCTGGCTAGGAGCAGCCCACTCTGCACTTGTCTCTGTGCCTGGAGAAAGAACCACCATTCCACCCCATCTCTAGAGCACCCCATCCTTATTGTACATCAGACATCACGCAGTGCTACTCACGGCATCCTCACCACAAATGAGAGCCAAGTTCAAGCAACCACACAGAAAGCAAAGGAACTGTATTTGAACCACACTCTCCTCTATACCACTTCTACAAAAGCAATGGGTTTGTTTTGGTTGTTTGTGGGTTTTGGGGGGGTTATTTTGGTTGGTTTGTTTTGTTTGTTTGTTTGTTTTTTAGTTAAAAAACTTTTGATTTGGTGAGCCCACCTCAGTTCTGTCACTGGTATTTATGCATAATCAAAACTAGCACTCTGTAGAGATATCTACAGAAAAACATATCAAAGTTTCCCAATAATTTTATGTCAATGCTGAACAGAAGTGCATAATCTCTGTATAATTTCTGTACTAATATCAACAAGTTACACTAGGATGACTTCTTTTTGCAAAGAAGCCCTTGTCTCACTCGCTATGAGAACACTTCGTATAGAGGTACTGGACGAAGGACCTTGTGGGCTCTCTCCTTTGGAAGTTCAAGTTCCCAATTTGTCTGAATGGAAAATTTGGTCTCAAGCATCAACATAACAAAATTAAAAACTGGCATGTTACAACATTGTTGTAACTTGATGATGATTTGGTCACTGCCTTCAGGCCATGGAAGCGTTCACTAACCTCTGGATAATCCCAGCAAATTTGCCCTTGACGGGGAGGGGGGCGGAAATCAGTAAGAAAAATTGGTCAAGATGAAAGAGACATCAGATTTTGGTTTAAACAGAAAGAAGTTTAGCACAGGTTACAGACCTTGCAATGTTGGAACCTAAAGGATTGTTTAAAAATTAAGTTTCTAAGACAGACCATCACCTTTAATTTTCTTATTTAAATAACAAAACCAGTGAAGAATACATATGATTTTCCAGACCCACTGGATGCCAAAGCTTGACAAATATAAGACAACCCTGAATAGAAGAACATTCTCAATATGATTAGTTGAAAAAACGAAGTTTGGGTGCCCAAACTTTCATTAGTTATTAGCTAAAAAATACATAAATAAATCTAAAGCATGTTTCACAAGCAGATGAGGCTGCAAATACTGCATGTCATTAAAACACTCTCCTAAAAACTAATCAGAGACACAAACTAACCTTACCTACCAAGACACTGTCAAGCATTACTATGATACAATAAAGCTGAACATCAGAGAACACTTTTCTCAGGAATTTAACTACAGCTGTGAATGTATTGTTTAGTTGACATTGCAAGAAAATTAAGTATGACATAATGATTAAACAGATTCAGCACAATATCAAACAAAACCAAGTGTACCAAAATCTCCTATTTATTCTCATGCAACTAAAAAACAAAAACAAAACAAAATTAAAAAAAAATACAACCCCTCCCCCCCAAAAAACCCCAAAACAGCCACCAACCACCAACCAAAACAAAACAACCAGCACACCACACAGAAAAACACACTGGGAATTACAGGCAAAAACAGCACAATAAGAAATTTCAGGTTCACTTACAGTGAATTTTTCTGTTTTGCCGCATGAGAAACAAGACAAAATGAAAAGCATACAGTGATAAATCAGTTTTTAGACCTATGACAATATTTTGCAAACAAGAGATTATTTAGGCATTAAAAGAAATTAGCACTTGAAAGGTTATTTTAGAGAAAAGATAGTGAAGATATGAAAGCCCACTATTGTATTAACGTTTCCTCCCACTCCCAGCTTTATAAATATGATGGATTTATCTTGTCAAGCATATTCCCTCCATTCACATATGCTAGCATATTTCACATGTCCCTGTGACAGATGCAGAACACTAAAACAGCAGATCAGCAACTGAAAAACCCCTTGACAGCTCAAGTGCTGTGTCAGTGCGAAGTGCACACAGTACATTCATTGCTAATCCTTCAAGCCCTGAAAACCAGCGAAGGAACAGGCAAAAGATCCGTCGGAACCAAGACTTACTGGTTTTGCAGCGTCGCGTTTTGCTACCAGACCGCTGGGTGGCAGCAGCAGGGCACACTGCATGGGACCTCGGTGAAACCCCAAACCCCCCCCAACATCTGGGGGTTCCCAAACTGTAATATAAGAATTTGATGCTCTTCCAGTAAAAGAGTACAAACCCAAAATAATTTCAAAGCTTTCAGCTGCTACTTGCAAACAACTGGGTTACAATTGCAAACCACCGGACAGTGAGTGTGAAGCAAAAAATAGTCAAAAATCAGAAAGGTTAAACAGAGTTTTCTAGGAAACCATTTTCAAATGCAAATGCTAAAAATAAAAAAGTCTCAGAAAAAGGTAGCCTGGCTACCTTTGAACCATACATTCTTCCTCAAAAAGCAACACAAAATAGCTTGTTGTACATAAGAGAAAAGTTGTAAACCCCAAAAACTAGGAACTGGACACCACAGCACTGACAGCAGATAGCACAGAGGTTTTCAGTGAAATGTGAAAACTGCAGAAATGTAACAGAGAAGGAAGAAAAGGAAAATCAACACAGGAACTTGACTCTCATCCTATATTGCTCCCTAGGCCCTCACACCAGGGTTCACTTCTAGGAAACATGTACAAGCTATAAATGAAGTACTTGGATATTTTCACTCACCACAATGGGTGAAGACATGCTGTGGTCTGATTTGAGGTTTAAAGAAAGCCTCAGAAAGCCTCTTCATGGCACTACTTTAAGCACAAGCTTACATGCTGGTCTCTGGAATTCTGTTTATTTTGGTTTGAAAGCTACAATATGGGCACTAGAAATGTTTACAACTAGTAAAAGTAAATTCTGCAGCAGTATCTTCTGGCAATGCTAGCTGCACTAAGGAAAGTAGGTGAGTCTAGACTCAAATACTGTTTGAACAATAGAGGCTTTTTAGCACAGTAGCAATGTTTTCTTTTTAAAAATAAAAAGCTGAAAGTTTTTCTGTAGATACTACCAATGTTCCTTCAAATTATCACTTCACAAATAGGAATTTGGTAGGATAAGATGATACATTCTCTGATTATATTTCACATTATTCCTGATGTCCTGAGTCCCAAATACAATATTTCACACAACTGCTAACACAGAATTTGGGATATAGAAATGAGACGGGAATCACAATCTTTAATATTAAAAATAAACTCTTAAAGCATTTCTCTACTGGTCTGATTTTATTAGAAAAACAAGCAAGTCAACACAAAAATGTTATCGTATTAACAGCATTTCTTCATTTTATTGGTTAAAACAGGAAAATAATGTCATGTGCCTGTATGTTCAGGTTTTTAATTTTGTTTCATTTTTTAAAATGTTTTCTGTTTCCTCTTTTGATCTCTCTAATTTATGTTTCTCAACTGCAGTGCCTCAGAAGCTTCTGCCAATGCAAGCTAAAGCAAGTCCATGAACTTCACAGTCAAGAAGGAAAACTCCATAATATGTGTGTTGTGGTAACTGCACACATCACTCCTCTGCCATCACAGAGCACAGGAGACAACCAGCCAAGCAGATACTTCTCACACACCCCTACAAAAGATGCTGGTTTGCTGATGATGAAGCACTCTACTCATGAGTACACGGTGCACTCCTGACAGCCATGCCACTGTAGGTTCTGCTCCTCTCACAGGACTTGGACAAGAGAACCTGATCTGGGGTGTGTACAAATTCACCATGGAGTCAGCCAGCCTGCAAGCACTGTCAGCAGAATCACCTCATGTTTTGTGTTTGGGTTTTTTTGTAAGGGGTGGTTGTTGGTTTCCTATCTCCCCTGCGTTTGTGTTGCTTTACATCATCAGAATAATGGCAACATGGGCACAACTAAGGGCCTCAGAAATAACTAACCCATGCTTTTTCTTACTAATACCTTACTGATTCTTTCCAATTCCTTGATACACTACACTCCAAAGAAAGTCTATATTCCTTTCCCTTTCTTCCACTCAATGCACCACTGTTTTGAGGTCTCTTCACAGGCATTTCTCTACTCTTTCAGGTACCTCTTTGCTCTAAATCTTAAGTTTGGGCTTGGGGTTTTTTTCTGTTTTTTGGTCAGTTTTTTTTAACAGTAAACAGCTAACATGTAATTTTTAACTGATGGTAGTAAAATAAGCAGTATTTTAGTCTATAGCAGTATTTGGTAATAATAGTAAAACTGAGGAACCACCTCTCCTGTGCTGGTATGCTTAGGTCTGTGTGACATTTTCTAGGATAATGTGATAAAACAATAATGTCCATAAACTCACCTCCACCAGTTTGGACAGCCGTCAGGTGTGGTCCCATTTCTCTCAGCCCTTCACTGTCCAGAGGGTAAGTGGATGCCTGAGATGAGCTCGTTCCTTGTGCATCATCGTCACCCAATGCTGTGGTCTGAGCCCTGAGCATTTCCAGGGCTCCTATGCCTGCCATCTCCTCAAAACCTTCAGACATCTGAGCCAACGGAGAGTCTCGAGACGCAGAGAGAAACGGGGTGTCCAGAGGCGAGCTTGGAGGGGACAATGACGACAAGGAGGACCGTGATGACAGGGACGCCAGGGACTGCGGGGTGTCCAGAGACCTCCGCTGCTTATTGAAATTCGAGTGTCCAATGGGATCAGCATACGGCACATCCTTTGTGAGGGACTCAAAGGGAATTATGTCAAAGCGCAAGTGTTGGCCATAGTCTGTAACGCTGTCTGACTTGTCGTACTGTGGAAGGCCATAGATGTCCGTAAAGCTGACTGAGCTGAGGGAGCCTCTGCTGGAGGCCAAGGATCCTCGACTGGAGGCCAGGGATCCCCTGCTGCTGCCAGAGGACATGGTGAGGGTGCTAGCTGACAGACTACAGCAGGCAAAGAAAGAGAAAAGAAAAAAGGCCCTTTCAAATATAATCAGAAAACACCAGTGCACACATAAAAACGTCAATCCGGATTACACAAGCAATTTTACATGTATTCAGTATGGTGACACGGAGAGATGATTTGGCATTTTAATGTCTAGGTTTGTGTCTCTTGCCCTGGTCTCAAGCACAATCAAGACTGAAATAGCACACGTGACAACCAAATCAAGGCCAAGTGCCTGAAGACAAACAGCCCAACAGGACAAGTCTACTCTTTCCTCCAAAATGTAAGCAGCTGTAATTTGGCAGAAAAGAGGCCAGAGTAGGCTCTGGATCAGCAGACTCAACGTAAAGCCAAGAAGGATACATTTCCATGATCCAGCTTGAATTTACATTAATGATTGGTCATAAACAATCCACAGAGAAGAACTGCAAAGGGCTTTGCAAAGTCAAACTGCTGTGTAAGCTTCACTCTTTCAGGTTTCTCCAGTGCAAAATAAAAAAAGAGTTTAGGATGAATCCCATTCCAGTTCCTCTTACTATTCACAGTTAAGGGAGAGACGAAGCAAGACACAGCAGGAACTGAGCTTTTGATGTTGGTGTGGTGTTGAGCTGAGGAATCCCCAAGAGTTGCATCTCAAGAGGCAGCTGAGTGTGAATATGCAAAACATTCTGGGCTTCTGTGTGGGTCTTAGCACATTCTCATATTTAAATGGCAAAATTTTGTCATCTCACCAGGGATCAAAAGCACCTCCTTTAGAGAAGGTATCAGAATATTAAAAACTCACAGAACTTAAAAGAATGCCATGTTTCTATCAGTAAAACTGTAACAGTATTACAACAGGTTTTAATGACTTATTTTCTGGAAAGGAGATAACATATAAAATTCCCAGATAAAATAAAAATTCATAGATACACTTAATAATGTAGCCCTAACAGCCATCACTAAAACTATTTTTAAAACTCCATCCAAATCATCACATTCCATAGACCAAAGTGTATAAATGTAGTAAAAAGTTAATTTACTTGGCACATATACACAGGAGAATAAAAAAGCAAACTTCATACATTATTAATATTCTTCTCTGCTGCAGTTAAACTTCAAAACTTGTTGGTTTTACATAACTTACCTTTTTAATTGGGAGTGTAAATATGAAGTTAAACGTGTAGCTTCTTCTAGTTGCATAAGCAAACAATTTCTCTTTTCCTGTAACAGTATCCTATAATTAAACAGATACATATGACTATTTTCTTCATCAAAGTAGTGTTCGAGCTTTCCAATTATGGAAAAATATCATTGCATTGAGTTTGGAATGTAAAAAAAAAAAAAATTAAATGAAAAGTTTTAATTTATGCTACTCATATGCAGCAATGGTAAATTCCAGCAAGAACACAAGAACCAAGGCTCCAGCAGAATTCCCACACAAGAAAAGTGATTGAGGCACAATGTAAGAGTAATTAAGTTGAAATGCATCATAGCAATTAGCAAGATCATATGAAGTCCTAGGTAAAAACATGAGACTCTACAATGCCAGTAAAATACTATGACTTTCCACTTTCTCAGGAAAAAAAATATTCCAAATAGCCCTACTATCCAAGCAAATTAGTATAAAACTTCAAAGATAAAAAGAAAATTTTTGTTAAGCATAACCATAAAAGTCAAACTTACGCTCTTATTCTAGGTGTTTCGGGTGCATTTATAAATCATCATATTTAAGCAGGCGATACAGCATTTTGAACACTATATTATGACAAAAATCTCACGCTGCAACTTATTTTTTGTCCTTTCTAAAAACAAGGAGCTGAATTACTCACTACTACTCCCACAACAAAAATGGAGTGTACCTTTAATGCTGTCAATCTCACACACCTATAGGGTATTTTAAATTCTGCATTTTGAGATTATTAGATCTCCAAATAATAGATTTTATCTACTGATTTATTCTTTTTATGGATCCAGAATTATATTCTTGGTGTTTTGTTTTTCCAAGCCCAGCCACTGAACTTCAAGCTAAAATCAGAGTAGTATTCTGCTTTAGGTTTCCATTTTTAGATTTCTGCTGTAGATTTCCATGTACAGGAAGATACTGCTCCAGCCTTGCATTCATAAATTGGCTAGAAATTTGGATTCTGACAGACAGTTTGGACAAAGCAGATCAACTTTTCTGAGTGTCTCAGACCTTCTTCAGCTGCAAAGACAGCTGAAGACAAGTTGAACTCAACATGTTAAAGTGCAGGATTAAAAAAAAAATTGGGGGAAAAGAAAACCAATAAAAAAGGAGTTCTCCTGGAGAAAAGAGCCGCATTAGTTTCAATAAACTTTGGATGGTTAAGATATGAAAAAAAGCATGTCTTTGTTAGCACTAGAAACATAAATCTCTCAGCCTCTTTGGCCCCCAACTTCATCAGTTCCTGTGCTGGCAAGGGGCTGTAGCGCTCCACTCCAGCACCTCCACAGCCCTCTGGGAAGGCTCCCTCCATCGCAACCACAGGGCAGGGGCTGCGCACCCGCACAGTGCAGTGCTGAGGCTTTTCAACTGCTGCTGTCAACCCAGACCAGGGTGGCCCAGTGGCCCAAGGAAGGCTGCAGCTCAGCTACACAAACTTACACGACACAGGCACTGCATGCAGGAACCAAAAGAAAAAGACAAATGGACACAAGAAACTTAAATGACTCGAAAGCTTGCAGGGGGAAGAAGCAGGGATATTCACATTACCTACTTCAAAAAACAAACTTGGGAACCGACACTCCACAATGATCAATGCTGCAAGGTAGGTACCTGTGCTAACGGGCAAGAAATGCCTCCAACTAAGGCTGTCAGTCAATTTTAGAAAAATCAACACTACAACAAAAAAAATACCCACCCCTCACCTCTGTCATACTGATTTTCAGTTTGTTTTCATCTGTCCATAACTCAGTGCCCTAAATACTCGGTAACAGAACAGAACTGATAATTATTTAAAAAAGAAAATTCTCTGCATTTCACTATTAGAAGAAAGCAGTAACAGAAAAGCAAAACTAGGAAGGTTTTTGGTTATTTCTAAAACAAACAAAACAAATCAATTAGGGCTACTAATAGTTAAGCTTTCCTCCAGTTTGTTATACAAAAATAGAGTGTCCGTCAATATTTTTCTAACTTCTACTCAACTTTTTGCTAGCATTTGAAACATCAAGTAGCACATTGGAACGCTGGTTTCCACAGCATGAACTACATGGAAAAATAGCTTGGTCTTCTTGCCAACATAGTATGAACTACCTAACATGAGAGCCCAAAACCAACAAATAAAACTTACTGCACTGCAGTGTAAAATGAACTCCCTTTTCTGTCAGTTTAAGCTGAAAAGCCAATGTAATGAAACAGCAAAAACTGCAAAATATATTACACTGACCTGTAGGCTGGCTGTGAATTTTCTATTTATTGCCTGAATTTACTATCTGAAGTAAGCCTGTTCAAAGGAACTGAAGTTGTCAGAATCTGTATATGGAAGGCACTTTCAAATATTTTTAAAGTGTCTTAATTGTGTAAATATTAACCTTTACACAGATCACATTAAACCTGGTTCACGTAGGTTTTCCTGAAGTGTCAAACATGAGGTTTCACCACTGTTTAAGAGAAGTAAGAACAAGTAGTTTCTCGCTTTCACTAGAAACAGTCTACAGTAAAAAGAGATTAAGAGGTTTTGTCCATTTCTTTGGCTACAGGAAAAACTGGGCAACTTCGAAATAAACACAGTGTTTCCATTAAGATGTTTTTTGTGTTGTTGATTTTACATATAACTTGATATTTAAGTTTTCAAGAATGACTTTGTTTACTGTGTTCTCTGAATGTCTGAGTTGGGATGTGCTCTCACTGCTAAGATTGCAAATGAAAAGGAAATGCTGTACATAAAAGGCAGCAAAAAGGTCATCATTTAACCCTCCTGTTATAAGGCAGAAACTACACATAGCAAAGGATCTTTGTTCTGTTGCTTTTAGAGATGAATATTACCCCACAGCAAATAACAGAAAAAATCTTTCACTATAGAAGAACTGTTATTCAGGTCTCTATTAGAAGACAGTATCACTTTTTCCAAGCATCTTTTAGGACTCTACTCTGATCTTGTCTTCCTGTTCAGACTCTTTAGACAAATGAAAAGAAAACTAACTAGTCAACCTCACTGCAACTCCACTTCAAGACAGAATTAAAGAGTATCAGTCAGGAGCAAACTCTTCTGAAACCTAACTATTCTAGTAACTATTTTTTTCTCCCTAAACCTAATGAAATTCCCTGCTCTTCCTTTTGAAACTACCAATATGGATCTTACAATAGATAAGAAAATTATTTAAGTTCCCAAACCTTTCAGTAGCCCCATGAGCAGACGTTGCTCGAGCCCGCTGAATTTCATCTTCCAAGCGTCTTTTTTCATCCTCCAATCGTGCAATGTCTTCTGGGGATCGCCTCTGCTGACTGATGAGCTGCAGCTCCTGAAGAAGAGCCTCCTTCTCTTTGATGAGCTGAAGACGGTCCCTGTCCGCTTCAGCCATTCCTGGCCAAGATTCATTATCTAGCAAAGCCAGCTGCTGTTGTATATTTGAAACTCTTTAAAAGAGAATAAATATATTTCAAAATGAAGAGGAGACAAAGACAAGTAAGAAGAAAATTATCAAAATGTGAAGCCTGTTGACTCCTGTGTCTTTTTTCTTCTAAATTTAAAAACAAGAAAATCTAGATGAGTTTGGAAGGATTATTTGTTTCCGGGTTTTGGGGTGCATTTTTTGGGAGTTTTGTTTGCTTGGTTTGGGTTTGGTTTTTTTTGTTGTTTTGTGCATTTTTAAAATAACTGCAAGTGTTCCTAAGTCTGTAGTTGTATAAGAACTACAGCGCATTTATCTATCACATGGATGTTATCTGACTTCAGAGTTTTCTCATTTTGTAATAAATCGATTAATATTTTACAGCTGAAGTTTGCTGACTGTAGAGCTAATGAAATTGAAGCTCCTTTCATTCCTCCTTCTTCTATGATCAGATCTCAAACTGGGATTTCAAAAGTGCAGTAAGAAGTTGAAGGGGCTGAAGGTGAGATGCTTAAAATGGTAACAGGTCCAGACATTCATGTCTCACCTAGTAGAGGATTGGTTCGAGGGGCTGAAAATATTAGGCTGTCCTAACTGACAACAAAACTTTAGGAATAAATATGCTGTTAATAAAATAGAAATATAGGTGTGGAAAAAAGATTTAATGGTTACAAAATACAGATGGCTCTATACAGACCTATCATAAAATCAAGCAACTAAGATAATAAAATGTTCTTCCTGTAGTATTCTTTATAGTCAAAAGTAATTTCCTCTATCTCAAGATGCTGAACTATTACATGACACAACAATTGTAAGATTACTTCCACAATTGACAGTTTAAGAAAACGTTCTTTTAAAAACAAATTTAAAACTCCTATCAATATTACAAAGAAGGGTAAAGCTAGACATGTTTCTTTTGGCAGAACTGAAAGGTATATAAGCATAAGAGGGAGAACACTTATTAATACATATTTTTGTTTATCTTACGATGACAATTTAGACACTTCAGAATGTTACAGTTAAAATTAAAAGCAAATAAGATAAAATCAGGCTTTCTGATCTTTGGACATTTGAAACTCAAGAACTGTACAACATTTATGCACTTTACATCTAAGTTTCATCTTCACTTTGAAATAGTAGCTTTCAAAAAAAGTTCAGTGCACCGTAAAAGATTACCCTTCAGCTAACTAGCTAAATAAATACAGGCACATTTAAGCCAGCCATAAAAGTGGGATATGGTTCATTCTTTTTGGTTAGTTTAAGCAATCTTTTTCCGAAACTACCTGGTAAGAAAATAACATTAATAATAAACAAAGCAAGGTAAAAGCACGTAACATGCCAGCAGAAGATCCACAGTGTGCTAAAATGTGATTCACAATAAAAGGAAAGGCATAAACCTGACAAAGGCAAGGTTTCTCCCTTCTGAAAATAAAAGCTCATGAAATGTTTATTTCATACTGACATCTGGAAAGTATCTGGCCATCTTATTACCTGGGGAAGGGAAATAAAGTATCAATATAAGTCATTTTGCAATGACTGCATTCATGTAGGAATATGAATTTTACTGTGATTCCCCCCCTTAGATTTCATTTACAGCAAGTAAAGAAATTGTGTTTTATGTTACATCTTAGTCTAAAGCAGAATATTTTATCAAGCCCTTCAATACCATTTCCTTCTCCTTGCATTAATAACCAACTTCCTGCCAATAGCCAGTGAAAGCACCATTGTGAATCAATACATACAGTCTACATATTTCATGCTTCAGCTATTGTGCATGAATTCCAGATGCAGTTTCCTGAAGAACACCTCACCCCATTGACCAAATGTCAGGGCCAGAAAGAACAAGCAGAGTCAGGAACCCACCCCTCCCCGGGCCGTTATGCTGTTAAAGATTCAGTAAACACTCCTGAAGGCATATACAGCTTGATTTTCAAGTGTTCAGTGCCAAATGGAATAATGGAGACTCCAGGTCCTTTCATCAGAATCACAGAATTCAGGTACAATTGAGTTATCACAGCTTGGCAAGCAAGTATGAATCAGATGAGCCCTGAGTATTTGAGTGACCGTGTTCATAAGCTTTTACACAGCTTGTGGACAAAAGAACGTGAGATTCATCTGGTGAGGTCTCTGCATTGTTTTACAAGACAGCTGAAGGACTGACCCTCTCCATTTTAACACAATTGTTTTGCTAGCTATTTTTACATTGCAGGGTGAGCTGGTTAAGAAGCTGAACACAGGGACAAACAAACACAAATGAAGGCAACAAGGAAGAGAGTAGTATGATCAGGGAAGAGGGGAAGGGGGAATTCCCCCTTTCAGCGCTACTGAACCAGTGAAGCCACTCATCTGTAGAGTAAAACACCACCCTCACTGAATACAAGAGGTTTTAATTTAGGCTCGAGCTTGCTGAGAGCACGTAACTCCCTTTGTGTATGACATTCCAGCCTAAAGATTGCTTTTTCCCCTCAATTTCTGTTATGGTGATGCTTTGAAAGTAGGAAGTTGTCATACAATAACTTAATTATACTGCTATTAAAGGGGAAAAAGTACTGCTGTGGACAAGGGTTTGTATCACTGAAGAGTTCCAAAATCTGATTAGGTATTTACTTTGATTCCCTTGACACTCTTAGCATTTCAGTTAGCTCTTCTTGTTTCTAGAGTTCTCCCTTTAAACAAAGAAAAAGCAGTCACAAAACATTACATAATGCAGGAATCTTGAAGCACCAATAAGCCAGTTTTCTGTAAACCTGTATTTCCTGCAAATGAACTGAAGTTTTGAGGCAATTCTGTTGCTTGCTTTCCACTGAGGACTCCCTCTGTATGGTAAGTTGTTCCAAAAAGCTACTAATGGTGAACTTTGAAGAGTTTATCTCCTTGGCTAGAAAACATCCTTAAGGCTTTTATGGTCTCACTCAAAACTAAGGAAAAATATCTGAGGAGTCATGTTCAGTTCCACTAAACCTTAATAAAATATCCTCTTATGCATGTTTCATAATTACAGTCTGTCTTCTTCAACACAGGCTTTTCTTCCCAATCACAACAAATGCATAAAAAGCATAAATTTCACTGTGCTAGTTTAGGCCAGATTTTATGCCCAGCCATTCTCACCACTGGCGTTACATGAGAGTGGCTCATTTTCATTTTCAAACTTAGTGCATATATTAACCTACATTAAACATCCACTTAAATAAATTAACGACTTGACATAGATGGCAATTTAAAGTGAAAAAAAATATTTAGGATCTATTATGAAGCCTCTTTCTCAAACACGTTTTCCTTCCTACTGAGTATTTTTTAGGATCCTACTTTTTAAGTACAGTCACTGTAAAAGAATGCTTTTATCTGGCCTAATGCCAGATACCGAGGTCCCTACTGATACAGCAATTTAACATATTCCTGGGGAAAAAACAGTTAATTTTGAGCCATCAACATTCCAGGCATTTTGCCCATTCCCATCCTTGCATAACAAGTGCTGAGGAGCTAGCATTCCACACTGGAGTAGGTGGTATCAAATGACTGGTTTCCTAGGTAGGCAGACCAACTTGCTGCTTATTTCAGTATTTAAAAATTTTCAATAGAGATGAACATAACAGCTCCTGGTTAAGCAGAAAAGCAGGAGGGGCACAGACGGGATGACAAAGGTTTAACTTGATGATCTTAAGCAAACACTGCTTTGAAACAGCACACTTGCCCTGAAAAGGCCATACAAGGTAGCTAGAATAATGCCTCGCCAGAGACAATGTAGACACAGCATGAGGGTGGAGATCTGTACAGTCAGTAGTTTACAACACAAACTACATCATGGGGGCAGAAAAGCATTTCCAGAATTTAATTAAATTTAATAGCATGTCTGAATCATTACAGATCTATAGAGCTCCCCCCAGATAAAAGAGGCAACCCCTTCTGCCATTGAAAATATCTGGGGAACCTTAAAGATTTTATTAGTTTCTAGAACCTCACATTCAAGGTTGCTATCTGAACCCAGCACTAACTAAATTATACTGCTGAGTTCAAGAGCTTCAGTATATTTATTAAATACGAGAAGTGAGTAAAAATCACTTTTTGTGAGATTAGTGATTTACAAGTACAATTAACCCCATATTAGACTATTACTCAGATTTTGAATAAGATAAGTGTCTTGTGGAGGGAAATGCCCTGAATCAATTCAAAGATACTAACTCATGCTCATAAAAGGGACAAATTATGGGTATCCTACAGTTGTCACTTCCTAACCTACAAGCTCTGGTCTTTCTAGCCTAAACAAGGTCTTCAAACTTACTTTGCGTGAATTTTTCAAGGAGAAAAAGAATCAACCAAGCAAACAAAAAATATCCCCTTACATTTAAATGCCTAGACTTTTGGGTGACATACCAGACCACTCTAGAGCTGAGGCCTTTGTTACCTGTGGAATGGGAAGACCGGCGGGGATAAAATAATGAAAAAATTCCACAGTTATAATTTGAAGGAGAATGGTGGCTATGATCACATAAATCAGCCCTGCTTACTCTTTTCCTTAGGCTTATAATTGGATCCAGTTCTCTGACACTTCAGGTAACAGGGAACTTCTCCCACGTACAACACCCAGAGGAGGTGGCTGTGGGACTGAAGACACATAATGAAGATTGTAAGAACTTGGTAATTTCTGGCATCTACTGACCCACTTCAGCATGGATTATGATTTATATCCAAAGAGGGGAAGGCTAAGGAAAGGGGAAAAAAGACATGGAAAGAACAAGAAGCCGGGGAACTCAGCCAAATGCTCACAAAATTTCTCCACCGTGTCTACTTTGGCTGTCCCAGCAACTATGTGCCACTGTGGCTTTGGCGGACAACACGAGTACACTCTGTAGAATATCCAGGTTTTCTGGCAGCCTGATCCATTCAATAACAACGAGCTCTTAAACTGGCTTAAGAAACTCATGACAACTTTAGAGTCCACTAGCATTTTGCAGATAAAACTTGGTAGTGAACTTCAGGAAAATTGCAAAAGCCTCCTAAAAACCAGTGGAGAGGAATCAGTATTCTTCTCCAATTCACAGGTGAGGCAGTATGATGAAAACTTTAAAGACAGTTCAAAAGCATGTCTCAGCTCCCTTTATAACCCAAAGAAAATGTTTTATGTTTAAAAATTTACACTGGGAGATTTAGGTTTGGCTGGGTCATGTATTTATGATATCAAACAAATTACTTCATCCTTAAATCAGATTTCCAGATTAGTTTAGTAGAATAAAGCATACAAATTCACTGAATTTCACTAGATATTAGGCTAGTTGCCTTGAAAACCCGCCTACACAAGATGAAGTTTAACAGGAAAATACTTGACTGTGCTATTGTATAAGTACTGGAATGTTGCTACCAATATCCAACCAACATATATTTTGTCAGTACAAGTTCAAACTGCACTGACACACTTCTGATTGTGCTAGTGCTTGTAAAAGCCCAGCTGGAATTTTACGTTTTAAAAAAGAAACAACAAGTTTGCAACAAACTATACTGAACAGAAAGAAGAAATATTCTTAAAGAGAATGGAGAAATATTAAGCATAGCTGATGAAAAGGCTTTTAAAAGGCTAAAATAAATCTCTTGACATCCAGTGTAAGCTCTATGAAATGAAATAAAAAGTAAGACCTTTGAATTCATATTTACAGAAGATACAAATAAATTACTGCTTTTTCACCCAAATTAGATAAGCTGGTTGAAGATGCCTGGATGTATTAGTTCATTAAAGTCAGCTACCACCAGACTAGACTATTAAAAAAAAAATAAAATAAAAAAAATCACAGTTAAAATTTGTGGTGCTTCTTATTGGAGGGATCATTTTTCATCTACCAATTAATACAATTCAAGGACATGTGGCACTGCAGCAATGACATTTCATGATCATTTGCTAATGTACTTCATGTAGTCATTATACTCAACTGCACAACTTAAAAGTTATCAAAGAAAAACAATTTGGTTTTGATTTCTCTTTCTATGAAACAGTCTATTCAGAAAAGTGCTCGAGGGGTACACTTTCCAGTGTGTAAATGCTTTCATGAGAGGTGGTCTCCCTGAAATAGCAACTGAAACTAAAAACAGTATTTACCCAGGCAGCTTGGGGCTGTCTGTTCAAAAAGACTGTCCTCCCTCCCTCCTGCTTCTCTGGAGGGCCACACTGACAGATCTGAGAGAAGAAATTTCATGGAAATAAGGTATAGTTTATTTAGAAATAATGGGGCGGGGGGAGAGCAGGGCAGAGAATAGTACAGAGCAGAAGCAATTGAGCCTCTCTTCAGCATGATTGGTGAGTTAAAAAGTAGAACTTGTACACCTCCTTCCAGAGCCTGGACCAGAAAACAGGGGAGAGGATCTCTTCGCCAGTGTGTTAGAGATGTCAGAACCCACAGCACAAAACATCTGAAATACCCATGGGAAAAATTAAATTGCAAATCATCCAACTTCCTTCCAGTGGGAAAGTGGAGTGGGGGAAGGGGGAAGCTATGTGAATGTCTTAATTTATTCAAAGGCCAAACCACTCAGTAGTTGGAGAGATTTTTGAAGAAGGAATTAAAATGAAATGATCTTTGATGAGGAAAGAGATATTTCACGAGCACAAGCCAACGTTTCTGCTATCACTGGGTCTCATCTCCTGAATTTCTCAAGATTCTTCATTCATAAATCCCAACAGTGCCTTTCCTTGCATAGACTCCATATACAGAGAACGTATTTTTATTTTTAGACTTCTTAGTACATATGGCATATATTCTGCTTTCATCTGGATGGATTCACAAGAGTGACTAAAACACAACATTGTCCCTCCGTTTGCGGGGCTTTTTGCCTACTTTCCTTTAAGGCAAAAGTTTTTCTCCAACAGTGCATTTTAAAAGTCTCCCATCAAAAGTTTGTCTACTGTACTTATTTGCTATACGTTTCCACACCCTACTTGACAAGAAAGTAGTCATAAATACTGCCTTGCTGTTGTGACATACTGTAGCATTTTAGTTTTCTACTCTGTAGATTTTAATCCATCACAGCACATTCCGTCACCCACACTGCGCAGTAACAGTAGATATTTCACCAGCCAAGGGAGAACGAACACAAAGATATTTAGTAGAGACAAAAGCTCTACAGAAATGCCAGTAAGCTAAGGGGAAGGAATGCATGATAAATGAAGAATGCAACCACAGAGATAACTGGTAGGGGCAATGAGCTTTGTGCAGTTCCACTCAAAAGCTGAAAGCTGATTACTTCCGTACAACACACTGGGCAGAATAAGGCTACTATTTTAAAGCAACTAACATGCTTTTGCTAAATAACAGACGACTGTCAGAGCTACTATCCCGGGACAGCAAATGCAATTACCATCCTCTAGTTGGAAGGTTAGTTACCCAGATTTTCTACACTTAATTAAGATCAAACCCCAGCTCACTTCTGATGTTCAGAAATACTGCATTCCATGCAGAAACAAATGTTCGGCATTTCCAGCTGAGAAATGCTTTGCTACAAAAAAAAAATATTAACCCAAAAAACACCAGCACCCCTCCCCCCCCCCCCCCCAAAAAATCACCACTCCATCTTTTCCCTGCAATAACACAGAAAATAGAATTTGGTTTGAAAAACACAACAAAAAGACATGTCAGAAAAGTGAACTAAAAACACTGTAATACAATCTTCACAGCATCAGTGGCTCTGCTAAACTAAACAGTGTAAAACTAAACTCTATCATTCTTCTTTCAGCAATTGTCATGAGTCCCTAAACTACCACTGGACTAGCAAGTGCTAAGTGTTAAGCCTATGACCAAATAGGACACTGACACGTTTATGTTTTGTTCTTTTTATCCCCAATTATTTAACCTTTGTTAGGTAATCGTCACCAGTATTCACATGCAGTATTTACAATGCAGACTTTCATTCAAGTTACAAATCCTGAAGATTTAGCTATGTTTATCTAACACGCTTGCACCAATTGAATTTTTTGAAGCCTGTATTGCGTTCAAATCTGGATAAATTTTCCAAGAACAACGAAATGGTGAACTGCCTATAAAGCTTCCAATTCCTGCCAAGACACATGACAGCATTACACATTCCTCCAAAGAAAAAGTCACCAATGATTTGGAAAAAAAGAGGTAGAAGCACTAAAGTTTTTTTAACCCTTGTTCTGAGAGATGCAAAAAAACTTGAAAAATAGACAACACTGAAAAGAAAAAAAAATTCTAACTTGATAAAAATTTAAAACTAAGGTAAAGTTGTCTATACAGAATCTTTTAAGTGTCAGTCAGTATCAATAACAGAATGTTCTATCAGCACAAATTAAAATAATCATAAGTGCATTAAATACTATGGTCGAGACATCAACTATACCCACATTTTTGTCCTGAATATGTGGCAAATAGTTCGAAACCAATGAAGTTCAACGAGGTTCCATTAAACTATACTAGTAGATAGTACTTTTAAAACAGCACTAAATAAGAAAAGACTACCTCTACAAACTCATGAAAAAACACTGCGAGACTGACTCCACAAGAGAAATCCTTATGATAAGCAACTAGATTGAATGACTTAGTGATTAATAATCTACTTCAATTAATACTTCTTTTTCACTTTTATAATTTTTTTTTAATCTCAACATTTATTTTTATATACCCTTTTGTTCAGCTCTGAACATCTTCACTTGTCTCACGTGAGATTCTGCATTCTTTCTTCACACTGGGTTCATTACTTCAGTACACTGAACTTAGAACACAAGTATGCAAAGCTTTGGATATACTGACAGACAAGGCTGGTAACTGTCAATTTAAAGACTGTTTATACTGAGGTTTGAGAAGGAGAGTGAAAGAACATAGAACAGTTTAACTGAACTACTACAGTTTTGTGTTTATACAAGTGTAGAACAGGGCTGACATTTAGCTTTATCTCTGCAAACAAATACAATAACCTTACAATAAAGTCTTATCTTTATTTAAAATTTTATTATCTGTGAATTACTCAGTGGTGAGCAAATTAGTCTTTCCAAAGATGTTTCAGCAGGAAAGCTGGTTCCAGCTCTACTTTGAAAATCTTAATCACAAGAGTAAATGTAAAACCCAATAAAGTTATCTTTAATTACCTTTTCTTGGCCTCTTCATATTGCCAGTTCAGTCTTACTTTGTCTACAAGTCTTGTTTTGTCATCAAACCCAAACTTGTACAGTTGAAAAGCAAGGTGAGGGGGGAAAAAAGAGAGGAACAAATAAAAATTTAAAAACACTCACCATAAAGGGATAAATTAGTCTCACTTACTGGACTCACCAAAAAAACCTCCATGCTTTAACTTGTAACATAATAAAAATCAATTTTATGCTTTAGAAATACAAAACTAATTTATGGCTAAAAGTACAGAAAATAAAAGAGCCCTTTCAATAAATTATGATCCTGGAAATCAAGAGTTAGCAAATTGAATCACTGACGAATGGTCAAAGCTTTTCAAATTTATCCAAGTCTAAAACACAAAAAGTGAAATATTTTACTACTTGATACAACTATTTTATGGATAGCTTAATTAGAAGCAATTCAGATTACATTCCCTGTATTGTGATGTGTTACCCAACACTTACAGCATTAGTATATTTCAAACATTAGTACAAAAAAATCACCTGATCATTGAAGCAGTTGTAGAATGAGCATTTATGTTACAACTCCTACTGTATACAGTTCTGTTTCTACAGCAATTTCATTCTTAAGGCATTAGTAGTTCCCTCCTCAGAAGTTTGTGTATGGTCTAAAAGTTAAAACCTAAGTCCCTATGCAAGTGCATTGCTACATCTCTGGAGCTCTCATGCAGCTGCTGGTTTTGTTCTCTTCATCATAACATGGGTAAAAAATCCACCTCTTTTCTACTCACATTTTACTACCAATAATTCAGGGGGAAATTAACATAAATATGTAATTTTATTTTCCTTTACAAAAAGCCTATATCTGATATACACAATTTTCAGACTATTCTTGTCTTGGACAGCGTTTAATGTGTGCTGTGAATGGGAAAAGGCTGCTATGTTCCTTTTGGCAATTCCTTTCAGATTTCAATAATCCCATTCACCACTCGTCTGAAAAATGAGACACCATCTACCTAACACTCAAAGACAGTCTAGCAGTAGCTAAGTTTTCTTGGATTCTTGAGAAGTCTATCTTCTTAAAAACACAAGATCTCCTTTGTAGGGACCCTCTGGAGACATCCAACTAAACAAGTCATCAAAGACATCAAAGTCAACAAAGACAACAGAGGATAAACGGGATGATAAGAGCCAATAATTGAGATGATTTCCAACCAAATGTGGATAACATCGAGACTGCAGTACTAACAAACTACAAACACGTTGTCTTCTTACTTTGGTGTCAGTCATCCACAGAAACAAATACTATTATACCATAGTGGTAATGTGGGACGTGCTCTGCTGGGCTGGCTGAGTCCAGGAGCTGATCTTACCTGTCACTGACCTGTGAACATGCCCCTACATCCCTGCGCCATGCTCAAGCAGCAGAACCACCAAGCCCACAGCTCAAACATTCTGGAACCAATAAGCAAATGCAACTTCCTCACCACCAATGTTGCTTTGTATTTTTCGTTCTGCTCCAGCCACCACCTCTTCAATTAAAACAGGAAATAACAATGTACCACTATAGTTCAAAACCAGCTAATTTTCTACAGCAAATGTTTCACACAGGAACACATACATACCTCTCCAGTGATGTCAGTCTGAGAACAAGCATCACAGTGTTGTTGAGGTAAACAGGAGTCACTGAGCGAACTAGAATTGTGCTGCAGATCCTGCAGAGAATCTGTAATACAACAGCTATTCCTGAATCCATCTGTTAACTTGGCCAGACTCTACAGGAAAAGAGATTTTTTTTAAATTAGAAAAAAATTTTTATAATACTTTTTAATAACAGAAAACAAAATTACGAAAACTTTATTTAAGAAATATGACCAGCAGCTTGCCCATAGAAGGACTATTTACAGAAAATAAAATTCATTGCAGTGTTACTAACATGCACAGGCTTTGCTTTGAAATAAACTTCCTCTTTTAAAAGATGCGTGTAGCAGTAAACAGATTTTAAATTATTTGTTTTAGACCTATGAATGCTTTATCTTCTGGATAGCTTGCAGTTCTTTAAATCTAGCAGCTGTCAACTTCACTTTAGCTGATAGCAAGACAAATGTGATTCACCTGCCCTTCTCTCATCTTCTTCACAGGTTACATTCCTTAGCTACTACTGTTATCACATCCAACTTGATGAATACCTTGTATTGATTGTACTTTTATGACAGCTGATTTTACCCTTGTGCTCTCTTACCCAAGGTTCACATAGTTAAGAGATATTTTGCACATTGGGTTAAGCAAGGGACATCGCTGAAATGTCTAGACAATGACACAAACTGTCAGGGTAAAGCAGAGACTCAAGCAGTCTTTAAGGGCAAAGGGGAATACAACAGAATCACACAAAATCCTAAAAATAACTTTTCTGACAATATAAGCTTGGTTGACAGGCTCTTAAAACGCAAAAAAAAAAAAAAAAATTCTGTCCTCTCATCAGAAGATGAAGGACAATCTAATGTGAAAAAAAAAAAATAAAAATTTGAAGAGCTGTAGCAATTTATAAATCATAACATAATCAAACTATCTGGTTCTAAAAATACAGATTAAAAAAAAAATCACTAAAACTGCTTAGTCCAGTATCTTAACTACAGAATCAGAGACAAATCCAAAGCACTGCATTGGGAAAAGGCTGACTCTCAGGACTCTCAGTGGTTCTGACCACTGGTGATTTGCAACAAGCCCAGGTTACTGTCCATATCTAATTATCAGGAGATTTCTCAAAGTGCAGTTTAAAAAGGATAACATAGCAATGCTGCTTTTTCTTACAACAAATTCAACTAATGGAGTCCAGAAATGAACCTGTGTAACAACTGTTTGCTACTGACAGGAACAGCAAGGCCACTCTGAAGTTGAAGGCATCTGGTTTCAGAGCCTAGGAAGCATCTCATAGGATGGAACTGCAGCAGGCCTGAAACTGGCCAGAAAAAGCATCTTCTTCTGGTGGCCTCCATTTCCACCATACATGGTCATAGAATCATAGAATCAGATGGGTTGGAAAGGACCTCTGAGATCATCAAGTCCATCCCTTCACTCTCATATAGCAGTCTCTCCCTCAGGCCAGCCTCCACTGGAGATGAAAAAGAGGGAAAACACAAAGTCTGGTATAGGATGAATAAACAAGTAGGTTCCTGGCTACAAGGAAGGTTTCTGTGTTCTTCCCTGACACCCCTTAAGGTGGAGAAAGGAAAGGCAGAGTCATAGGTACACACCACATGTCAGAGGGCAGAGTCATAGGTACACACCACATGTCAGAGAGCACGTGCTGCTCCCTCCTCAGTCTCTCTCTGCTCTTACTACAGCGTCTGAGTGGGGCTGGAATTTCATGCTCAGCATTGGCAAGGATGGAGGACAGTGCAGAGCAATGCCGGACGTGCCGGCCTCCAGAAACCTTACTTGTCCTGGATCCTCCAAAAAAGCCAGCTCTTCTGCCACCTCCCAATTGAACTGAGCCATCTTAATATGAAGGACAAACAAAATATTTTCTTCTCAGTTCTGAGACAGCAAAATTCAATTTCAAGTTACACTGCCACATTAACTTACATCTATTGCACAGGTGACTATGCCCTAGGGCAAGCATAAACGCCTTGAGTCCTTATAGTTGGGTGAATGAAAACACAGCCACCAGCAAACCTAACATGGAAAATTACAACCCAAATTAGCATGCTTTTAAGCAGAAAAAAATTTACATAAATTGCTAGGAGTAATTTCCTCACCAGCTATATGGAGGAATCCATCTTTCATCTAGAGTTTAGGAACTGTTTATTGCAGTCCCACAGAAACTACCAGAGAGCCTACTGTTAATGTGAAGTTCTAGGCACAGCAGCCCAGACTTACACAAAAAGAGATAAACGAGCACTGTCACTTCATCATTGTCTGTTACCATCTGATTTGGGAGCTCTCTGCACAATTTCAGTGCAGTTCCTATCTAACCTATTTAGCCAATCTCACTGCTACCAAAAAGAAAGGAAAGGAAAAAAAAAGAAAAAAATAAAAATAAAAGGAGAAGGGAAAAAAAAAAGACAAATTCCTGTGTTTTTCAAGGATAAAGGATGATATTTTAAAAGCACATGCACACTGGAACAGAAAAAAAGTATGAAAGAGACGAGAAGGAGAGACAAACAAATTGCTTTCAGGAACCTAACCATACACCTTTATTATTCAATCTTATATAAAAATTTCACCCACTGTTTTGGAACACTGACACTGCATGTTTGGCTTTATTTGTAACCACAGCATCCAGTTTAAATCTGACCACCCTCTCCTTCCCTCGTCAACCTTTTCTCCCACACAACCAAATCTAATTTTCATATTTCTACAGCAGCTACAATTTTCCACGCACCTACACAAGACTGAGTCACTTCTACTATGTTTAGTTCTGTTGCTTACACTGGCCCCATCTATTTCCTTTCTCTGAAATAAATCCCCATCTTTTTACACAATACTTCAAACTCCTCTATTAACAAATTTCAAACCAAAAAAAGATTTCATAACAAAGTTTGTTTTACCAGCAACAGCTTTAAAATGTAGCATCTTCAAGGACAAAACTATTTCAATATTGATAGTAAATTAAAAATCAAATTCTGAACTCATTAGGAAGATATTTAAAATAGATTTGCCCTTGTTAGACAAAGCTAAATAAATCCAGAACAATAATCTTCAAGTAATTATAAAAAGCACAAGCACAGATAACTATGGTGTCAACAAAGATTATTTTTTTGTCAAAATTAAAAAAGTATCAGGCAGAGAGCTGGATATTTTTGCAGAAGTTGGCAGAAATACACAACTTTTACAACTGTAGATGTCGCAAACTATGGCATTTAATTCCTTATTACCACTTCAACAAAACATAGAGAACTGTTTTGCATGCTACACTCCTGGGGGAAGCTATTTTCTAGATTGTCCTGGACTATACGTCTATTATTGGATGCTATCACAACAGATTCATTAAAAAAATGATACTTCCTAGACTCATATTTCCTGTATTTCACATAGACCCATGAAGAAGTATGAAACACTTTTCATTTTTGCTTCTGTCTTGTGCAACCTCTGCATTCTGGTTCTGGGAGTATTGCCCAATCCTTGATGCCAAGCTTGATCCCAGACAGATTCTAACTCCCTCAACACTCTATTTAAAGAAACTGCAAGTGCACCTAGGGTTGGGTTAGCATATATGATTGTCAGCACCTCAATGTTTACGGCTGAATTTACTGCCACTGAGGGCCAAAAATGTTAGGAAAAGAGTGGGGGGAAAAATGTATTGGGGGAGTGAAAACAAGGCCAGTAGTTAGGTTGCTCCAAGATCTCACACTTAAGTCTTTATATCACCAGTTCGTTTCCTAAAATGTGTGTTACCGTATCCACAAAGAACTGCCTTTCTAATAATTTCTTGCTAGCCAGGTATGTGGCAGGCTGAGAATCACTTAAAAACTTGGCCAACCCAAAATATCAAATATGTTAAAAGCTGCCAAGGCAGAAACTTTTCATAGTAACTTAAGTGTTCTGTCTACTTGAACAAGGATTTGTGGTCCATCAAATGACCTTTGTGTAATGCTTTGGTGACTGAATAATTGTATAACTATGGAAATTAATTATATGTAGATTATAAGCTACCTATATCATTTAACAATTAAAAAAAAAAAAAAGAAAAAATTCAAAAAACTACTGCAGAGAAAACTGAAAGAAAATGTTTGAGTAGCAATATTTAGTACAGTTCCAAAACTTTAGATAATAAATGTCTTTTTCCATACAGATGTTTGAAGTCTGGGTGAAGATAATTGTCCTTATCACCTCTCTGTATCTGCAGCATATTTTACCAAGTCTGTATTGAAGTCCCTGTGGTGGCACAGGCTCATTTTCCTCTGATCAAGCCCCTATCACATTAATAGCACAGACACACAACTGAGAGCTCAAAGTGGGATGCAGAATCCATTTAAAAATGAGACCACTACTCAGGCATGTATCTCCCCTCAATCCTCATGCTCAGATTCATTAAATAATTTTAAGGTTTCGTTTTGGTTTCTGTATACACTGTATTTAATCATAATCTTTAGGGTTTTGCGAGAACATTTTAAATTAACGTGTGCTTTGATGTGGGTACTTCAGAGTTTAGGGCAAAAAGTGACATTGTAACACAGAGATACAGTTTTGTGAAATACTTAGGAAAGGAAAAACATGGTTGACATGGTAAGCATTTTAACACATGAATTCTCAAACTTACTTCATTATAGGTAATACAAAGAGACATTACACAAAACGAAAAACAAATATTGCAAAACAAAGATTTTCTTTTTTTTTTTTTAATTCAGCACAGTTACTCCATAGCAGCCTTAGACATAGCAACAATGGAAAACTATATTCAAAAAAGACATTGATCTAAATGTAACTTAGGTAACTACATTACCTAAGATAAAAATACAAAATGTATATAAAACTCTGAGTTCACACTATAGAAAATGACTACTTACCTTTTTTGAGCTGCTTGATATTGGTAATTATCAAACAGAAAAATCAGTTTAGGGCACCCTACTTCATTATTTAAACTCGGTAAACTCAATGCAATCCCTAACAAGAAAACAACAGTACTTAATTACTATTTAGCAGCTATTTGTTCAATAGTATATTTTTACCTGCATAAGGTCCTGCCTTTCTTTTTCACCTGTGCATATAGCTTTCTTTATGGTTCGAAGTTCACTCATTATAGCTTGTGCTTCATCCAGTCTATAATTTGTATGAGCATTTGACATCTTACGATCAATCCTGTTCAAAAGATTAAGACAAATTCAGGAATTTTCACACAATTAGAAAACACATAAACTTCTTATGACCGCTTGCTTATTCATGTTCCACTTTATTTTCAGGAATAAAATTATACTCTCTTCAGAACTAACACAGCACTCAATGCCAAGTCCGCTCTAAAGACAAAGCAAAGCAATTATCTACCAAGGTTCTTCAGAAGCAACAAATTTCCTCAGTCCTAACACAGAGCTTTCTGCAGGCAATGTCTGTGGCCTGTTTCAAGCAACAAAAGTAAAATCAACCTAAAACTAACCTACATGGTTCTAACTCAAAAGATAAGGTAGCAGTCTAGCTGTCACATTTTCCATGCAGCACTACACATCGCAGCATCTCTTCCAGGACTTTTGTATGATCTTGCTTTAGAAGTTTCTAGCAAAGGCTACTCATTTTCTCAGAATGAAAATTTTAATTTCTAAAATTTTATTACAAATGCTTTCCTGCTCTTTAAGGATCTTTGACTATCTTTTCTGTAAGACATCATAATCCTGCACAGAAAAACACAACCTGGAACTATCCCAGAAGATTTTAAATGTAAACTCGGCAAAGAGCAAGAGCTCTAATATGACACAAGGTTGAAGTACTACTGATGTTCCCATCCTGACATAAAAGACTCTCAAATGGAACATCTACTGGTTGAGTTTTCAACCTTTTTTCCAGAAATTCCCAACAGTAAAGGACAATATACGAGGATGCAGAAGCATAATGCAGTGTACTGTCTTGATAATTTGCTTAGATTTATAGATAAAGAACAAGACAAGAGAATAATCATTTGGTCCTGGATTTACAACAAATTGCTATAGGGTTTTAACAGGTTTCACAGATTGTCCATAGCAATTAGTGAAACTCATGTTACGTTTCAGTTAAAATATTAAAAACTCAGTTTTCCTGTTAATCTAGCATAGGAAGTGTGCATGTAGAAAAAAGGAGGTACGTGTAATGGTGCTTAAGCCAATGCTCAGAGTAAACATCTTCAGGAAGAGGTGTATCTGGTTAACAGAATTAAAGATAAAAACATACAATGGTCATTACAAATGGGAACCAGTTTTTAAAAAGATCTAGTAGGAGAGGGCATGCTATACATATAGGACAAGAATATCCAAACTGTATTTACAATACTGAGAATAACTGAAAGTTTCAAGGTAGGTATTATGTTACACTAAGAGTATCAACAACACTCAGCATGTTCTGCCAGTTAAATACAATCAGTGAAATTCCACTTGCATCCGATTACTTGCTTTAATATTAAAATTTTAAAATGAAAAATCAAAAGGCTTGAATGAAAATCCTGTGGTTTTATTGTGCAGCTCACAATACTTAATAAAAAAAAAAAAAAACCACAGGTTGGATTTCTATGGTTTTGGTTTGGTTTGTTTTTTTCAGATAGTTCCTGCTTTTGGAGACAACACAAAATAAGTCTGAACATCAAGATTTCAACTTAAACAAAAATTCTGCCATGTTACATAAGAAAATATATAAACTTTTATGATTATTGGTTCAAGAACAAGAAAGGACTTAAAAGTCATGTGGAATTAAGTTGGGGTTTTTGTTAGGTTGGTTTTGTTTTCCTTTTAATCTTCACTAATTTTTAGTTAAAGTTCTGAAAAAATAAAACTATGGTAAAACAACTAATCCAATTCACTAAAAATACAATTCACAAAAAAACAATTTCATCCAAACATTGGACACAAAAATGCCTCATTATACTCATTATACTGTTTGCTAGGACCGAGGTGGCACTTCAGGAAAAGGAAATCATTTAATGTCAACCAGATTTTTGTCCAGTAATCCACATATTCATGTTCCTGGATGTCACTTTGGAGCCCAGCTTATGAATCAAAATTTGTTTAAGGAAAGAATCGGAAATACTGCCAAAAGTATTTAGGCTTAAATCAGTATTGCTGTCATGACTTAAGTAGCTTACAAAATTACTTGTCATTTATTGTCTTTTTTTTTTCTTTTTTCATAAAGATTTATTTTTGAAAGGCATGGAGTTAACAGCAGTCTTCCATTTTATTAATGAAAAATAGCATGATACAAATATAGATCAGACCTTTATATGAATAGAAAAAATATTCAACTAATACACAAAAATATATGTTTTCTGAGGAAGATGTTTCTAGGAGACATAGACTATTAATATGCTTCAGCCCTATAGGGCAGATTCTGTGTTCCTCCATTTTCCTCCACATGCTCTCAAACACACAAGACTCCCCCCATCCTCACCAAAGCACAGGTCTGTACTTGAGTTAAAATCTGATTCTAAAGCTTTTGTCAGGTCTCCTATCCTCTAAATTAGTCTGTAGCTACAAATCGTTTAGCCAGTCTTAATTCCCTGTCACTCCCAACTTCTCACAGTGTTCACTCCGCTCTCATGGCCAACTGGCCAATTTTCATTTCCTTTGTTGCTAAACGCCTTCTTCCTCCAAAATTCCTGCCGGGGAGCAGAAGGGTCACTGAAAACACAGGGGAGGAGGAACTGCTGTCAGGCCAGAGGAAGGAATTCTTTCCAGAAAGGGCTCATATTTAACCCTGCAACTCTGGACTGTGACAGGATCAGACACACCTTGGGGCAAAGGCTCTGGCAGAGGCCAAGGAACACCATCCTGCAGGGAGTGGATCTCTTCAGGCTTTTACAGCTGAGCTCTACAAAGTCTCCAATGGACAAACACAAACTTTGATGTCCAAAGGTTTATCACAACATTGCCAAATATAGATGAAACTGTAGAAAGTACAGCCCTGATAAAAGCAGCATTACAGAGACTGAAATTTTGACTGAATTGAAGTCGTAGAGGTATCCAAAAATCCTTCAATCCTGTCTCCCCCCCCACAAAACCCCACTTCTCTATAGTCGTTTTGTGGTTTTGTTTTCTTTTTATTCTCTTTAAAGATGGCTAAGCCATTTTATTAAAATTAAAAAGAACAGAAAACAAAACACAGTCCAAGGCAGACACTGTACATGGAAAATGTCAATGCAAGAGATTTGTATTTAACAAAGGCATTTGAATTAGAGAGCAACATAAACTGATGGAAATACTGAGGAACCTAACCACTATCATCACAAAAGTTCTCTCTTCTCTGAGAACTATGCCCAGGAAAGGTTGCACAGGGAGTCACTTGGCAGCAGGTTTCAATACCTGCTCATAATGCCATTCTGGTAAGACTTTCAAAGCAAACATTCAGCCAGATGTTAAGCCACAAGTGTGACAGCTCCCAATATTGTTCTTGGCTGATACTTGAAATAAAGTGATGAACGTGGCTGTAAAAAACCTGAACAGGATGCATGCCATTTGCAGTCTGGCCATTACTTGAAGATTTGACCTAGCGCAAAAAGGAAGAATTACACAGACCAAAAACTTAGGAAAAATAACAGAAGTGGGAAATATCTGAGGTGCAATAACCTTTAAAAAAGGGGGATGGAGAGGCAGAAATCAGCATTATTGTTTTAAAGATGGAGTCAATATGTTTTTAGACCATACACTTACTTTGAGGATATGCAAAAACTAAACTACTTCAGCCTTGGTACTTGACCCTTCTCTCCCGACAAATAAAAGAGCTAGGGTAGAGATCACCCAGGGAAAAGCTAGAGCACAGGCTTTTAACCTGATTTGCCTACTGAGTATACAAGGAGAAAAACTCCTCTCTTCAGTTTTCAGTGCAAGTACTCTCCAAATTGGCTCACTTCCTACTAGAAGCAAAATACTCAAAAGAAAGCACGTATCTCACCAGAAAGGAAAACAAAAAAATTACTTTAAGACACAAACCAAAAACAAAACCACAAGTCCCTTTCACAAGTGAAGAAGTCACTGCAGAGAGCAGAGCTCAGCAAGGCACAAACACTGAGAGAAATTCACTGCAACTCCAGACAACACACAGGCAAAAGGTTCTCCCCAGCTTCAGCAAGCAATGACAAGTGCCACCCAGTGCACGGATGGGACAGAATGTGACTGTACCAACAGCAGCAATGGCAGCACTGAAGCTTCACATTGTCATGCTTGAACTTTTAAACTAGATGATTAGAGTGACCCATTGATGAATCAGATATGCTTTAAAATAATTCTTCTCCTGAATGTCTCTCCTATAACCCCATCCTATAGCATGGGCAACTTGACTTGGGCTATATCCAAGATTAACATTTGTATTCTTAATCATTTGCAGACTTTACTTCTCAAAAAGTTGCACTACTTTGCTGGACTATCTTAAATGAATTATACTAATTAAAACAATCTTGAGTTTCAAATGGCCTTCAAATACTTTCATCATCCTAGTCAAGTGGTTAGTCCTTTTATAAAACAATTGAACCTATACCCTTCAAATAACCCAAAAACCAGAAGAAGGAAAACAAATAAAGAAAGCAGAAAAGGCAAGGCAATTCTTACTCAAAGAAAATATGAGTAAGAATCTTAATACAAAATTGCATTTGTTCTGTTACTGCTTACATATCTAGGTCATCATATTGAGACACTGACTATACATAAAATATTACTTAGTATATCAAAATAGCAAACACATCTGAGTGCTTTAGTTTACCAATTTTCAGTTAATATCACACATTAACAATTCCACTAAGTACCTATAAATTCTTCAGTAAAAACATAGTTATGCCTGAAAATCATTACATTATATCTGCAAATGAAGAATTTTGGTTGAACAAGTTTTCTTTTCTGAAACTTTTCAAATGCTTTATAAAACAAAAGCGCCTTGTAACTGATTAAAGAAAAAACAAAACAAAAATCAAAGACACCAAAAATATGAAGTGCCTGGGTTACTACTCCCTCTTCTTTAAAGGTAAAATCTTAGTTATATTGTTTTGTTAATGTAGTACCAATCAAAACCAAAACTGGAAAATAAGCAGCTTAACTGCTCCAGGATCCCTGGAACTTTGTCAGAATTCCTGAAGTGAAAGTGTGAGCCCATGCTTTTTAGCACCAATGCAATAAATCCAAAGCTTCAAAATATTTCTGCAGATACTGTACTTATGCTGTAAAATGAATTAGACATGCAACAGTTCCAACATTTGCAGGAAGCTCCTGCATTAGGCAGTTCGTTAATATGCATGCTGGAAAAAAGGCCAAGACTTCTAAAGGCACAGCCACATATCCAAGGCAAATCCAAGTGCTGTTTAAGCTCTTGGTCTAGCCCCTGGCCTCGCTGAACAGATCTGCAAGTCGTAACAACCTGTGTTTACCTGCCATCTTCTCTACGGCCTGGCAACCTCTCACCCTATCCCAGCAGGAATCCTGTGTATGTGCTACATGTGTAGGTGACTAAACAGCACAGAAGTCACTCAGTTCTCAACTGATGTCCTGCTGGAAGAGTGGCAGGGAGAGTGTCACCACACCATTTCACAGTTTTTGACACTGAACACACAGCAAACAGGTCACGGGCTGCCTAATAGCCCTGGGAGCAGTGGGATATTGCCTGAGCTTCCTTTCCTTGCTGGGAGGGGACAAGGGGTCACAGTTACATGCAGTCATTTTGCACACAGGTAGCAAAATCCAAGCTCCCACAGACCACCAGATTTACGGTACAGGCACAAATCAGCTACATTGTGCAGAAGGAGATGGCCTGATTGCCAGGTAAAAGGAAGTAGCAGTGTTGTGGTGTACACTTTTTCCCCCAGGAGAAGTACTGTGCCCAGCCAGAAAGCCTTGGCACTGCTACAGGAAAACGACTCCACAGCATGGTGCTTTGGGCTGTGCTCCAGGCAGTAGATATTTCCAGAAAACATTTGGAAAGTATTTTAAAAATCTAATTCCACTTTGACAATATCTTCAGGAAGAGTTAAAGAACAGGGCCTATAAAACTATTCTTGCATATGAATCTATGAACTCACCACTCCAACCAATTCTATCCAACACTTCTTCCATCCTTTCACATTGCTCTCACCCTGCATTATTACCACAGTAAAAAGTCTGAAGCAAAGCATTTAACTTTTTCTTTTTGGCAACATATTTTCTAAGAAATTAATTCCAAGACAAATTTTTAAAAACACATAATAATAACAATTTTTCCTCCCACAAACTCTCAACTTACTCTTGTAGAGTTTCCACTCCTTTTTCTTTATATTGCAGCTCCTGCTTCATCTGTGCCAATTCCCGTTTTAGCCTAGAAAGCTGAAAATAAAATAACTTAAAGTAATAATATGCAACAGAAGCTTCCATAAAAAATAACTGGGTTTAAATATAAAATTTTAAGCTACTTCAAAAAACTCGAAGTGATAAGTTTTCTTCGTTTTTTTGCTTTAAAATCTTCATTAAAGTAACAGGACTTCCTAAAATATCATAAGATCCAATCAAACAGTAGTCACAACAGTCAACTTTTAAAGTATCAATTTCCTCATCTATTTTATCATGTTTCTATCTCCAACAGCTTATGCTAACAGCATGTTTCAATCCATAGAACTTTTCTTCTCCCTTCATAGTAGAGACACATCTCAACTGTCTTCATCTCTTTAGTCAACTTTAAAAAAGCCTGAACATTCAGTGCTGGTAATTTTTCCATCTGGGAAAACAAAGTTACTGGCAGCAGAACTGGCCTGTGTGAGGGGCTTCACAGCACTTATGGTATCCAGGACTGTCAGAGTCCCACCATGCTGTGTAGCCCTCCCCCATCCCCATTTGTTCTTGCCCTTTTCTCAAAACTCATGGCACCAGCCTCTAAAACACCCCTATACCCTCACCATCTCTTTTAAACACTCACAAGCTCACCAAAAGTAAAATGAAAAAATGCACCACTTAACATCATGTACACAAACACTTTATAGTGCATATTTCATTCTATTTCCTGCAACAACTCAATGGCTATGCACACATTTGGTTGAACATATTATCCCATTCACTTATTAGGTCTTTTTGTTTTAAGATGCAGGAAAAGAGGGAAATAGTCATATAAGTGAAGACCTTGTTTATTTTCTTAAAATAAATAAGAAATAAGGTTTATTTTCTTGTTTAGAATATGCTGACATTTAGAGTATGTAAAACAAGCAAACACTAGTCAAGCATGTAGTAAATATATACAGATAGAATAAATGCCTTTGGAGGGTGGTGAACGGGATTTATTTTCAGAGGCACTCATGTGAAAAGTGGTCACTACAACAAAAATGGAACACTATCCTGCAAAGAGAAGCATTTTTTAATTATTTTGCGAGCTGAGTGCCTAGCATGCTAAAAACCATTTTATCCCTTAAGAAAAAGAAAGGTATTGTTTTTAAATACGTTCTAGAGCTTAATATTATAAACTGCTTTTTATAATTGCTTATGACTTTTACATCAATTTGCTTGAAACCAATGTGCAATATTTATCTCTGTGCTAAAGCATCATGAGAGAAATTCAAGTCAACTATTTTTCCTTCAGCAAACATGATACCAAAACCATGATACTAGTGTTTTTTAAAAATATATAACTATATAAGTATGGAACATTTTTATTACAGAACTGCTTACCACTGTCAGAATACTTGAACTCCTCCCCCTTACAAAGGAGTTCTGGTCAAATTAGCTAAAAAATTCTATTTGGCCAACAGGTCTACTGAATTGTGAAGAGATTTCCAAATAAGTGGCTAAATCTAGAGCTCAGTGGAACCTCACTGAAAATGGGTAAATGGTATGAAGAGAGTGGGCTTGAACTGCATTTAATAACGAAAGAATTTCACTGCAGATTATTTACTACTTGTGGCAGTCGCACAGAGAAAGCAATTTCTGGAAGCCTGGCTGAGCTTGCCTCTGACATCTGTGACAAAAATGTTTACACTTGTAACATGGAAAAAGCATTACTTCGCAAGTCACTGAAACGCAGTTAACGTAGAATCCTTTTAACAGAAAAACAGGTTGGAATAAAAAAGCAGTTTTTTAATACCATATTTCTAAAAATGCATGCAACTTTCAGTGTAAATGCTACAGTAAAACAGTCTCCCTCCCTTCCCCCATGCGTAATTCATATTTTTACAAAATGAAAAAAGACTACTCACTCTGTCACGACGGCTGGCTATTTCTGCTTTAATCTGATATGGGTCATACTTGGTATTAGTTGAAAATCCAGAGAATGCTAAACAGATAGAAAACAACATTTTACTTTTTTTTTGCCCCCCCCCCCTTTAATACACTGGTGGCAGTTTTTCAATAAACAGTTGCATTAATTCTTAGAGTTACAAGTCCTTAGGCTTTAAAATAATCCTCTGTGCTAAAGTACAACTGAAGATTTCCATTTGGCCCACCTGAAACTTTTTTCTTTTGTCCTGAACAATAACTGCATATAGCAGCACTGCATATTCCTAAAAGCAACTAGCTTTTATGACTGGACGGTGGCATTTACTGATGCAAGGAATTAGTGTAATATTAACAACTGATAGCTGCTTTCTAAGTATACTGAATTAACAGTATGATAGGGACTAATGCTTAAAAAAATCCCAATTGTCAGAACAAAATTACATCAGCTAGAAAGAAAAGTTGCCTCCTAAAGCAACAGTGTATGGAACCGACATACACTGTGTCGAGAGCTTACTTGCCAGAGCTTGATTTGTATCTGGAGACGGACAATGATTTCAAGCTATGCCATTACAAGCTAAAGCCTAGAGAGATGAAGTAAAGGTCCTAGAGGAGGCTGGGCAAGAGCAACCATGATTTATAGAGTGAGCCACTCAAGGCAGCACTGGCCCACTGAAAAATGCCTGGTATGTGAGTGGATGGGGTTGTGCTGCCAGACCTTCCATCCTTTTGCATAGCCGAAGGCTGCTGCTTTGAAACCCATATCCATATCTGCGCTGCAGTGAGCCTTTGACTCTTGAAAGACTACTGCAACACCAAGGTCACGTCAAGCGTGCAGAAACTTGCCAAAATGGGTAGTCATGCCTGGACTAATTCTCTAAATCCAGGATTTTCTACGGATTTTTTTTTTTAAGCAGTGCTGATCACAACTGAGTCACAAAACTGCTGCATGGGCACCTCCCTGCCAACCCACAGCCGCTGAGCTCACGCCACCTCCCACTCATGAGCATACAACACTGAGTCAATGGCAGCACCCACAAGCAAAGTGGAGGAAAACACTTTGTCAAGTTTTAGTTCTTTCAATGCAACAACTTGAAACGAGTGGTAGTGGAGGTAAGGATATTCACAATATAAACACCCAACTTTGGTCATGTAATTGCACTCAAATTAGAAGCCTACTATATCTGCACAATAAATGGAGAAGCAAGCATCCCACAGTGGAGTGGAGGAGTCAAATTAAGAAAAACAAGTGGGGAAGAAGCCTCTGGGAATCTTGAGTTGACAGCACAATTAATCCGCAAGGGGAAATTAAAAAAAATTAAAAAAAAAAAAATCATCTGGCTAAATCAGCTCACCTCATTTTCGCAAAACAAATGCATATGACCTTAAACCAACGTAAAATATATTAACACATCTGTAGAAAATTAAAATATTTTTTCATCTCAGAACAAGTGGAAGATTTTATTTAAATGCTCTTACACAGTCTCATTATCAATTCCAGATATACCTAAAAAAACCAAAACTATCAGAGACTATTGAGAAATATAAGTCAATTGACATAGCATTTCCATTTGTTACAGATAAGCTCCAATTTTGTCATCTGAAGCCATATTTTGTAGCCATTCCAAGTAACTTGTTTTTCCAAGAGCTTCAAAAATATGAAAAACAGGTTATATTCTTCTAGTATATTTTCATCTTCAAGAGAAGTTTCTTTCTGTATATTCATCTGAGAAGTAATTCAACAAAATATTCCATAGAACTATCACAAATTTTTTTTTAAAAAAAGCCCACATTCCTAGAAAATTATTGCAATAAATGTCTATTTAGATTTTATAATCTCAAAAAATACTGATGATACTGTCTTTTATCCTATTCCAAGTCTTTAAACAGTAGGTAAACACATTGCAAACAATAATTTCTTTTTAAAAATTTCTTTCTTAGTAAGAAAAAAAATCTTAATACTTCTTAAGACTGAACATAACAGGAAGAAATAAAACTAGTCAAAACTGTTCAGTTGTGTCACAAACTAAATCACGGAACACATGTATTTAAAACTAAACAAAACTAAACAAAAAGATGAGAATCCCAGTTCAACAGTAACAGAGACACTTCAGCCATAAAACACCATTTATTCAGGATTTTGGCATACGTATCAATTGCCTTGGATTAATAAATACCAGTGGATCAGTAGCTAAACACTTCCATCCATGTGCCTGCTTTAGGTCTCCCTCCACAGTCAGGTTTCTTGAATGTTTTCAGAAAAGGTTAAAGCAGAGTTTCCCATTCTTACCAAGTACTTGTCATTTAACAGTAAACTCGCAGTTAAACCAGCACAGTAAAACTCCACTACATTTCCACATGGCTGTTGGGTATATTCACTTAACACACTTCTTTGAACTAGACTGTTTGGCTCTCCAGCAAAGACACCTCTTCCTACTGCATAGTGGTGCAACATCTTTAGAATTCAGGAAACGTGTATCATCTACTTCAAGCTACCAGAGACATCTTAAGAATGAAAAGGGTAGGAAATCAAAGCTCTAAGACCTACGCCACCAATAGCATCACAGGCTGACATTCAAGAATGAGGTGCGCTCAGGAAGTACTGTTTCCTGCTTTGTGGTCAGAGGTGCTCTTGACCACAACAGTTTGTTCCTAACACCTTATAAAGTTGCTAAACAGACCTTGGATCCACATAAGCTTTCCCCTAAGTTGATGGCTTCCACCCATGTTGAGGGTAGAACAATCTATGAGTTTAGGAGTTCAAGTGGGTGGCTGGTCTAGCAACATTCAGTCTTGTCTTCATTGCTTTGCAGAAAGCATCACTACAGCTGGTTCCAAGATGGGCAGAGATGCTAGCTGGGATATATCCCTGTTTAGTGTTACATCCCTGTTTAGCGTTAACATTTTTCCCTGTTAAGTGTATATTCTAACAGAACTAACGGGAAATGAAAGACCTTAAACAGCAGAGTCAAAGGATAGCACCTCACTTTTGTAGTCAGGATCTTCATTCAGAAAAGAATCCGGTGATGGAAACACTACACAGTATTTCTTACACCACAACTCGTGAGAGGCAGGTGGGTAAAATCAAGAAAAGACTATAAACTCACAGCTGGCATAAGAGCGGCTGTCATCCTCACACATTTTGTGCAATTGTTGATATTCTTCTTGGGCTAGTTCAAAACGCTGCTGCTTTATTTGATAAATCTCTTTCTTGGCATTGAGTGCCTCCTGGGCAACTATTAAATATTCCTTCAGCATCCTTTCTTGCTCCCTTCTCCATTGCTCCCTTGGGTCCTCAATTTGTGTGAGCTCTAAGGAGAAAAAATTAAAAGCATTAAAATAAAATTTGTAAGATACTTTATGCTACAAAGTACAAATTATTTTGTTCGTGTCCATTCTCAATCAGCACAGCTAAAACGACAGAGCACAAAATTGCTCCAGCCAGGACAAGAAAAGATGTAGAGTGAAAGAACAGGAAAAGCCTTTTCAAATATAAAAGGCATTTAAATTTGATTCTTTTCTTTACAAACTAGTGCAAGTCCAAAGAAAACAGTATTTTGGCTCTAACCTTCCCCTATAGCCAACTTGAAAATTTTGAGAACTACCAAAAAACCCAGAACCACAAAGGAGAGTGAAAAGTATCTCAACACTTAACCCATAACTGTACAAATAGCTGGAACTACCTTAAGATATTACAAACAACTTTGCAAGTGCAACATCCTGAAAGGTCAGAGACTGCCTCTGCATTCTTAAAAAAAATAAGGTAATTCAACAGAAAAGTCATAACTTTAATCTTGAATCCATAAAGCATTTAAATTGCTTCTCGTTTTGTCTTAAGAAACAGCAGTCTCATGTTTTTACTTTCCAGGGTTTAGAAAAGTTTATATTCAAACACAAATCAAAACCAAGTTTCCACCACAAAATCTTTCCCATACATATATTGATTTTCAAAGTTATTACTGCAAAGCAATCTCTTTGCAGCTGCAAAGGACACATGCATAAAATTCTAAAAAATTATTGGCTCATTTCTTTTCTTTTTGTGAACTTACAGAAATGTTTTATATGAGGATGTCCATGTAAAGTCTCATGTTTAAGCATAATGTTAATTTATGATGATTGAAGTTCTACCAGTAAGAAGTTGATACAGACACAATGTCAGTTTTCAAAGTAATGGTAAAAAGGAGGTAAGCACCTAGCAGTTTTTTCCAAATTTGGTTTCTTATGAGAGATGAAAGTGAGTTATGTTTTGCATTAATCATGAGTACATAATTCAGTATATTGGTGTCAGTGATGAAATACAAAACTGTAAAAGACAGAGTCCAACAGATTAAGAACTCCACTGGTGTCAGGGTCATGCTAGCAACTCTACCATTTGAGAGCCATCTGAAAAGCGTATAAACAAAAACAGAAAGCTCAAAGAGCAGTACTTCCAACAGATTTGCAGATTATTTCCCTAAATAACTTTTAACAGTTGTCCCTTTTCTCTCCTTGCAATTCCTCACACACTGAAACAGTATAAAGATTGTCCCCATCATTCTGCAATTTCTTCCCACATCCCAGGGATCCTTGATTCCCAGCAGCACCTTCTGGCTCCCATGAGCCCAAATTATCTCTGCAGCCAAAGACAGGACGTGCTTTGGCTTGTTCAGTTACCATAAATCTTTCTCTACATGGAGGGTAAGCAGAAGAAAACCAAGTTCAGATGGCTGCCCATCCTTCACTGAGGGCTTGTCAATTTGCAGTGCTATCTCATCTGTCCATAACTACTCCTGAAATCTGTGCAAATTTAATATTCCTAAAACTGTTAATCCCCTATGGAAACTATGGAGAAATTAATAAATCTTTATAAGAGAGACAAGCTGGATCCTAGTAAGAGTTTATTTTTGCATAGGAAATTATTAGTCCTAATGTCAGTAAACAGGCAAGGCCAAGATGTTACGTTCTATCACACATTAAGCTTCTCAGGTCCTTTACTTCAAGGCACTGCATCTTTTATAGAATTATTTCAGAAGCCTTCTGAAAAGCTAGCAGCATTCTTCTGAGGCAGAAAACTTCTTTAGTACAATAGCAATGTTTTCTTCTGTTTTATGAAACTTTGCCCTGGATTTCTAAACAAGTTTGCCACATAACAACAATACTAAAGCTACACTGTATGATAAAATTAACTTCTTCATTTCTTCATAACCAACTAAAAGAACCCAAAACACTATAGTAACTCAAGAACAGCCCTAGACAAATGCAGAGAATATATTATTCCCTCACTGGGGAATGCCCAACTGCTTAAAGGAGACTTCAAAGGCTTCCAAGATTCTGAGGAGGAGGGAAAGGAATTCTGTGGCTGGCAGCCGCCAAGGTTTTTAAGCAATGGTTGGACAAGAGCCAAGAGCAGCTTAGTAAGGGTGTCAACAAAGTACTGGATTTACAGAACAAGATGGAGATCAGGATTGGAAGCACCATTGAGATTTACAGAAGATTCCTCTGTTCCTGGTTTGTTTTGTTGGTTTTTTTTCAATATAAATGGAAAGCTATTGCCTAGAAATCTTTTTCTTGCTTCCTGGGTAAACAAACATTGCAAGAGGTTTAGAAAAATCAGATGTATTGCTGTTTTCTTTTAGAAGGTGCAAGGGCAAAAAGCTTGTGAGAGTGCACAAAGCATGAGAGGTCCCTGGTAAGCACAACTTTAGAAAGACTCTGAATTATCCCTTGCACTTTCTCACAGTATTTCTTGGAACCAAAGCACTTCTAAACTGTTTTGTCAATTAACACAGAACTCCAATGCTGTATAAAGCATTGAACCCAGTCAGATACAAAAGGCAGTTTAAATGTTTTCACGTGAAGCTGCCATTCCAAGCGTTTCATATTCATTTCAGAAAAACATTTCTTTAGCTCCTACACTATCTCTGCCACTTGCCTGACACCATCTCATGATGCACATGATTGTCAACTTATTAGTTCTCACTTCTATAAAGGAAGTTAATGTAGTCTTTTGATTGCTCCCTTTGTTGTCCACAGTTTAAAAACTGGATCAAGTATCCTACTAGTTTTGAATAATGATTATCCACCTATAATATTAACTCTGTCTTCTCTCCTAATATAAATCTTGCTGGTATATGCAAGCACTATATTAGCCTAAGGGTGACAAACCCATTTTGGTGTGATGGTTGAATTACCATTTAGGATAATATCTGTGGGCTGCAAGTAATTAGTTATCATGAAAGAGACTACTTTTGCAACCTTGTTAATTGCTGAATAATTCCTTTTAGTCAGTTCAGCACTGGCCCTATGAAGTTTCTATCCCTCTGTTCATACATCGACTTTATTTCATACCTAATATGATAAGCTTTACTTTCCCAGACCCATTAATATTAATCTTTTCTTTCTGTGTCTACCCACTGAGCATTTGGGAACTCAGTTTCCCTCCGTAAAGACTTTTCTACAATTTTTGCTCTCAACTGCGCAGAAAACAATGCAAGCCAGATCTGACATGCCTACAATGATTAATATCCTTTCTGTAAGTTCAAACTTCATGTCTGTGGACACGCTAATAACACAATCTGAAAAGCAAAAGGGAGCGATTTCTTTTGCATGTGACGGTGATTGCTGTGAAAGATGCCTATCGGTAGCTTTCTTTAGTCACAGTATTGCAATAGGAGTTCATGTTCTACAGGGACTCCTAAAACCTTTTACAATTTAAAAAAGAAAAAAAAAAAAAGGAGTTGCCAATACCCTCTTTTTCCTTTTTTTAAATATGTGCATTCACACACATTTACATACACTGGTGAAAGTGCATTCCGTGACTTCGCTCCAATGTAATCCTCGCTTTTTACTAAACTTCAACATTACTAAAGTTACCATGACAGCAACCCTTAAACTACTGCTTCTTTTAAACACAGTTATTCTAAGAATTAACCAACAATTTGTATTTACTGTCTTCAAATTGTCTTGGTTATCTATCCTTGTGATTAGTGTATTAACAGTTCTTCAAAGTTTGTAATTTAATTAGTGAACTTTGTTAAATTTCACAACAAATAAATACCTGTGTGGGTCAAACAGTACCACGGAAACATTTATTATCAAGTTGCTTGGGTTTTTTAAAATAAGTAATTGTGAAACCACAACACACAAGTAATTCCAAGAATGGCTGGAAGACCAAAACTATTTCTACATTTTTTTATTTTTTAGTTGACTAGATTTCAAGTAGATAGTATTGAGGTGGGTTTTGTAGATTATATTATTTACCACTGCTGTGATAGCCCACATATAAATACTTTCTTCTTTATTCACTCCCCACCAACTGCCAATTCCCACAATATTGAAGGCATTCACTCACTACTGATAGGAAGCTTAATGATAGCAGCACAACAGTAGCAGCAGCAGTAGTACAAAGCTATAAAGACATTTTCTTAAAAGTAGAACTGGCAAACATGCCAGAGAGTGGTGATACAAAGCTCAGCACTAGTCCAAAAGGGAAAACATTAGAAGTTAGTTTCCAAAAGAGACATCTGTTGTCTTTTTTATAGCACTTTGTACTGCATTAAAGCATAAAACAAGCATTGCTTAGGCGAGGATGAGATTACTGTATTTCATGATGTTTCTGATTAAAAGTAAGTACATTTCTCTCCAAACACATTTTGCTTTTCAATACAGAAGAGTGAACTATGGATGACTGAAAAACAGGAAAAATCTTCCTAACTGATGTATGACAAAAAGCAACAACAAAATTATTGATACTTCACAGAATGGCACAGCAAAATTGAAGTTTTATACATATAACTCAATCATAGGTTGTAAAATTCTTTACAAATGCAAGAAGCATAGTGTCCCCATCTGAAAGATGAAAAAACAGATTCTGTAAGAAATTACTTGCATATATTTTCTCACTGTAGCATGAGGTGCACAAATGGTATTGGAAACAAAGTTAGTGCCATCAGTTAACATCAGCTTGCTAGTATTCCTCAAAATAATTATGCATCTACTCACGATTTATGTGGTCCATATAATAAACTCCAATCTGTTGATCGTAAACAGTTTCCCATCCTAAAGGAAGCTCATCACCGACACAGTCAGCAAATGTCAATGGCTTTGTAATCCTGTAAAAACAAAAATAACACAAATAAATACAAAAGGTGCAGAGTTTACAATGCAATGAATGTTATTACCTGTTTTGAAGATACCTCTACCTTTTGATCACAAACTAGTTATGCTGCTTAGGAATGTGCTGATAATTACAAACATACAGTTTCAAAATAAAATTTCATTTAAATATGCTGACAGATACTCCCCAAACAGGTAAGACAAGCTTCTCCCCTCAAGTTTCTATGTATAACAATTTAATTACAATGGCATGCAGTCCTGCCAGTTTTTCTCCCATACCACAAAGAACACAAATGTGAAGCTGGAGTTCACCACTGCTAAAACTACTAGAACCTCTATAGGTTTTAAGTTCTGTAAGGTGAAAAAGCAGGAAAAAGCTTATCCTTAAAAAATAACATAAGACAGCACTATATAACAGATTTCCTCTTTTCATTTACATATTTTCAACTATTAATGATATTGTCTTGGTCCAGACATCCAAATTACTTCCTTTCCCTCAAAAAGAAGAGACAAACAAAAGTCTCTGAAGAATTCTGAAGCAATTAGAGTAGAAATAGTAATTAATATGTAGCAGCATTGCTATCTAGCCCTTAAAATGTCCCACCCATAGATAGGCAAACTCTTGATAGACCAGTGGATAATAGAAAACCAAAACAGCATGTCACTGTTGACAAGAATGTTGAAAATACTGGATTCCAAATTCTACAGGAAGACTTTAGATCGACACTGGTATATCTAGAATGTTAAGGTATATAAAAAACTAGAAAGAACAAATAATCCAAATAAAAAAGCCTTTCCATTCAGTCTAATCATTCCTATTTTCGAAATCATTTTAATCTTTACTTAATCCCTAAGATAATGTTTTCTTCTAAAACCTGCTATAAAGTTCCTTTACTAATATAGTAGTTTCAATGATACATGGGATATAGATCCAACACCTTCCTCATGTATTTGTTGAGGTACTTCTAACACCTAGAATGATGACAACTTTGCAAACCCTAAATATATGCATTAATTTCAGGACTGAGTTAAGTTCAGCATAACCTATGGCATAACACTGTTATTAATAATTCCACCAGTATGTTATAATACCCAATTCAGGTTTAGTGACACCAGATTTAAACTATGCTTACAAATATGTTGCAGAATAGAGAATATTTGCACTTCATCTGATAACACTGATATAAAACAGTAACTCTGTCTGAATTAAAATGTGTCTGTCTTTGAACTTAGAATTCCTTCCCCAAAACAAAACCAAACAAATCCAATGATAAAGCCTTCACATGATAGAAATACCACTAAAGCTACGTTCCAGCTGTTCCAATGGTGCAGTAAGCACACTATTCAACCACTAACAAAAGCACAAAACTTTGCACACAGCAAACAGAAAATTGCATTTACCTGCCTCCTAAAACTAGTGGTACATTACATTAGTATCCTTATAGTGCTCAAAATTAACTGTAGTAAAATAATAAAAGTGTCCTCACTTGTTTCAATGTTTGAATAGCTTTGCACAACAGTACAAAGATCACATTCTGTGAATTCTCCAGCATGTATAAACATTTAGTAAGATGAAGATGTACATAAACTTGTGCATAAATTTGTGTGCCACTTTTTAAAGTAAAAGTTTTCTGTTACCACCAAATACGTAGTTTACATCATGTAATCAAGCAAATCCAAAGCTGCTGCATTCAAGAAAGAAAACGTTACTGTGAGCTGACATATGCACTCTCTCAGTAATTCATCTAGCAGTCAGGCAGACCAAATACTGCCAAAATACTTCTGATCTCCCTGGAATTCAGTCAAATATTAAAAATACAACATGCAGCATTTTTCTTAAACTCCCATAGTCTTGTTCTGAAGACATCATGTTTACAATTTCTCAAAGTAGTCTAGACACTGGCTCCTAAATTACCGCACTATAGACAAGATTTTCTTTGGAATGAGCTATGAGATTTGCTTGCCTGTTATACAAACATACCCTCAACCCTTTATTCATAAATAAAACCTGCACATGATACTCTAACCTTTCACACTACAAGAACTTTAATTCAACGCTCTCCATGATCCCACCAGGGCTCAGACTTTCAGGACAAGGACAATGTTCACTTTTGGGAAAAGGGAGACTGAAGAAAACCAATGCATCTGGTCTAACTGGTTTTCATTCCAATGATATAAAGCATGTGTGAACAGCTTAATTAATGGTTTTGAAGTAAAAATTTTAAGAAAAACACCCCAGCACATAAAAAGTTATCTCCCAGATATTCAGGCCATTATTAACTTCATGTTGCTTGTTTTAAACTATAATCAAAGTTGCTCCAAGTTGGATTCCTGACAAAGCATAATGTTACACTGATTCTCAATTCAGTCACATTTATACCCATATAGCTGAACCTTCATGCAATTAATCCAGATCAAAACATTAAACTAAGAACTGGAAGTTTCTCCCTGTGTTTTGCACTGCTTTAACTAAGAACTGAAAAAATACCTTTTTGGTTTAAGCAGCACAACTCTGAGCACAAGATTACTTTTTTGCCAGTTAGGGGAACTAAGGGTTTTCAGAACAACAAAGACAACATGGAACAGATGCAGATATGTATATTGGAGGTCAGCCACAAATTACAGCGGCAGACTGCTGAAATTAAGTATCTTTTGGAAATACTGCTTTACCCTTTGGGTTTGTTTTTAATTAGCTTACGCATTATAAAATAGAACAGATCTTTTCTGCTTCTATATAAAGAATTGTACAAGGTACAAGTACATCTGCTAAAACATTTCGAAGTATTAAAGACAAAAAGCTTTTGGAAGCATTATAAAGACAAAGACAGAACAAAAATGCTGCCATCTTTAATTAAATAAAAAGCAGGCTTCCCAGATCTGTACTACTCACAGTATAGTAGTAAGAATAATAGCTAGTTGTAAAAAAACAACTAAGGCACTTCTCTGTGATCATAGTAGTAAACAATAACTAAGACATTCACCCCAATCATCTCCTGTTCTTCCCAAAATAACTGATAGACACTAATAAGAAGGTTCTGAACTTCCAGCTGAAGACTCAGAAATTCTCTGGGATCAGTTTACAACATTAACTGGTTGCGGTCACTGAACCTACAGGCCAGGTACGAGTGACAGTTGTCCATGGAGGCCAATTCTGGATAAATCAAAGAACCAACCATAACTTCAGATTAACTTATTTGCTGGTTCTTCATCAACTTGAAAGGTTTATCCTTTCCAAAAGTAAGGATGCTCTTCAGTCCTTAGACACCTAACCTTTTGTGACTCTGAAACCCTTCAGAAGCAAACCCAGAATCATGTAAATCTTCCATAACCCAAATCCTTCACATCAAACCAAGACACAAAAATCTTTGAGCAACATTGTGCACCTTGGATCTGTCACTTCTAACTCTGCCCAAATTCCATGTTTTCGCTAAGGAGAAATAAAAGTCCAGTATTTGCATGCAGTAAAACAGACACATCTAAACCCCCAAGTTTTAATAACATTTTCTCTGCATCAATTACCAGGCTAAACAGTTAGAATACAGAAATTAAAGAGCAAAATAAAACCAAATATATGACTAAACTAAGAGATGTTTTTCCTCCTCCTTGCATACTTTTTCATATCTTTAGCCACTACCATATGCAGAAGGATTCCAGAATACAGTACTACAGCTTTCTGAATGTGCAGCAGCAACAAGTATTTCTTGAACGCATCAGTTCATGGCAGGGACTGGGTGGGAAGAAGAAAAGAAAAAAAAAGTAAAAGACAATGGCTAAATACCATTTTAGATAAACTACTGCAAAAGTGCTCTCAGCTTTAGATGCTTTGTTAGGAGGATCTAATTTCAACTCCCTCAAAAAAACACAGAAAACCTTAACCTTTAAAGGAACACTTCTGAGTTCAAAGAAAAGGCATACTTCAAATCTCCAAAACACAGTTTGATGGATAGAGCAGGGCAGCAATTTCATTCTCATAGACTTTCAAAACCAGAACCAGACCACTAGATACACAAGGTTTCAGAAAATATTAGATAAGATTCTCAGTCTTCCCATGGCCCTGATGCCACATCAGAGGGCCCTTGCTGCTTGAAATCCCTAAGTCTAATTGAGTAAAACTTCCCCTGGGAGGAACTAAATTAAGACAAACAGAGTCTGTTTTTCCAAGATCTTGAACAGGAAATCGAAAAGGTGTTTCCAAAGTAAAAACACTGTTGCAAAGTAGCTGCCATCTCTCAGATAATGCCTAGGTACCTAAATTACATCCAGGGCCACCCTATCTTCCAAAGTGGGCCTGGATTAAGAGGAAAGCACTAACCATGAGGGCTAATTATGGAAAAGAACCACCAAGTTCTGAAGAAAAGCCACCATCTGTAGGGTGACAGAGGGAAGCATGCAAGAACAGCAGCTGACAACAATGCTTTTATTTTTGTTTCTGATTTTAGTCAGATCCAACAGCAGAAGCAGAAAATGTCTAATAAAATTTGATAGTCCGCAACAGACAAGGAGTAACATTCCCTTAAATCTGGTCTCAGTCTGAATTGCCATCTAATGGGATAGACGGTTTTCCCTGAAAAATGCAGACTATAAACTAGGAAACTGTATTAATTAACATTACATTTCTGAAGAATACCAAGCAATTTGAAAACTAATAACAAAACAACTAGAGAAGAATTAGCAATCTGGTAAATCTAGCAATAGTTTATCCAAGGAAAGTATTACACTGAGTATATTACTGAAGTGTCAAAAGGCAAGTAAGAGAGAAGGCAAAATGAGAAAACATGCACACACTTTGAAGTTTTCAGCCAGACATTTTTTTCTTTCCTCCTTTCAAACATGGAAGTTAAGCTACAGCCACTGTTATAAAATTTTATTAATCCTTAATTGAGCAGGAATGGAAGATGATTTTTTGTTGTTTCACAGACACTAGCAAGAAGAGCTGTCTACACTGAAGGGGAGAATGGGGGGCTTATTATTATTTTATTATCAGAAGTCACCCTGC